GATATATATAGCTTAGTAGTCCCTTTTCTAATCAAAATTCAAATTATTAGTTCATCTTGCATAGTGGGTATAATAATTATTTATTAATTTTTACTACTTGTTGTGTGGGAACTGTAAATACCAATAAATATATCCAAATATATGATGAGCTTACAGCTACTGTAATACCATAACTTCTAGAGAATACCGGTTTTGTCGAATAATGGTGACTTTATGTCATAAGGGCCGGGGTCGTTCACATATTACGTAATCACCGAGGGGGGAAGGTTTTCCAAATGATTACGCTAACTAACGTGTGTAGTTTTAACACAATAGGTCAATAGCTATGACGTGTAAAACAGATTAAAAGTGATTACGTAATATTATGTGAAGTGTGAACGACCCCTCATCATGAATTTTGGATTTTTAGAATCCACTCGATTTTTATAAAAGGGCCCCACAGTTAATCAAACCAACTTGATTCAATGTATTTTTTGTAGGTTTATAATTGGCGCGCCGAGTTGGAATCGTCGACGGTCTTTGGAACAAATATTTTACGAGTATCACCCATTAATGTATTTTCGAATGCTAATACCGAATCACCCCACATACCATGGGGTTAAAATGCTTCCCTGGCGAGATATCGGCGAAAAACTGTCTCGATCACTTGATATGACCATATAAGGAAGTTGGTATAATTTCTCGTTAGGGTTAGGGTTTCAGAATATGCTTTAGTTAGCGATTGAGTAAGGGCTAGGGTTGGGATCAGATTAGTCATTAGAGGTTTAGGGCTTCGAATAGTCATCCAGGGCCACCCAGAGAACGTGTTAAAAAGTCACTTGACAGTTCACAATTACAAGATATTGTATCTTGTGAAGTCCCTCTTTGGCACACATTTTAATGCACATTTATCCAATGCATAAATATTAAATACTGTTACATTAGAGTGTGTCGTGAGATTTATTGGCTATTTACGATCAACAAATCTTATTACTTATATTTTATCATGTACATGTACCAAATCTTATTACTTATAAGTTATCATGTACATAATAATGAATAACATGTTATATTCCCCACAATAGTCGACATTCCTTAAACTTATTTTTTATTCCCATGATATTAAATAACTTAATAATAGCTAATTGCTTTCAAAAGATAATCAGAATTATTACTAACTTACTAAGCTGTTTAAAATTGAATTTAAATGGACAAGATAAATGTGGCGAAGTAGGGAAATATAAGTATAAAATGTATCACAAAATATAATATAATATGTTCTAAGATATAAAATATCTACTAAAATAACATATAATATCTACTAAAGTAGAAAATATCTAAAATATATCTAAAAATAGAAAATATCTTCTACTCACAGAATCTGAGCACCAACTACAAAGAGGATCGTGCGCAATACAGTCAGAACATGTCAGTTGTCTGTGGCACTTGTCGTATCCTCTAAACTCATCTGGAAATAAAGTGCTAGTTTCATCATGTGTAATTTGAAAGTTCAGTAAATTACTCACCAATACCTACTTGTACTACTTTAGTAATATCCCCTTTAAAGGTGACATCATCAAAGATACAGTGCAATAAGATAATATCGTACAATTAATGCAGATACTAGTCTATAATAAACTTACATGAGTAGATGACAGTCAGGGTGACCAGCAAACAGAAGAATATAACCTTCTTGATCATGCCTAAATTAAGTGTTATAAGGTACAAAAGAGTTCTAATGATATCACAGTACAGCTAAATACCTTTTGTGTTAAGGATACAAAAGTAGGAAAACCAAGATTTTTAATTAAAAAGATAATTTGGTTATGATTAGACGGCCTAGAACACTCAATACTACAAGATGTTGCCAGGATGGTGAAAATCACGATTAGAGAAAACACCTAGATGCTATCAGTGATTTTATCTTTCATCGTAGCCATTTGTGATTTATATTTTGTTGCAATATAGTTTCCCTCTGAGTGATTGATTTGGGAATGGCCTGCAAAGCCAGTCAATATTTACTCAAATAATGTATAATTATAATAATATGAAATCCACACACAAATACGCAAATATGTATATGATTGATATTATAATTTAAACTCAAAAATCAATTTCGGATATTAAAATAATTTAAAGGCGCTGATCTGCAATCAGCAGATTTATTAGGCCAAGAAATTGAATCATTCATGCTTCATCCTAGATGATTCATATTATTATTTATTAAGTCTCAATTGTGTTCAGATGTGTAAAATTTGATCACATGACTTGATGTGCAAATACCTTCATGTCTGGTACAGTAAATGGAAGTTAATCCCAAACTGTGATAAAAACAAGACTGAATGTATTATGATTGCACCAACATCCTTGACCTGATGTCACAACCTTTAGACTATTCATTGTCGGTAATCGATCCATAACATATACATGCATAAAATCAACTGTTCTTGGACTAAGCATCGACAACAAGCTTACCTGCAAGGGTCACACAAAGTTAAAACTCAAACAATGCTGGTTTGCCTGGCACAGGATCACCCGCCACAGAGGTCTGAATGCAAGCTCACTCAGAATGCTCTTCAGAACAGTAGTTCTCACAAAACTTCTATATGCTGCTCCTATATGGCTAAAATATTACCTAGATACTTTCAAAGACTTTTATGCCAGGGTCCTCTTGAAGATTAGCGGATCCACTCACCACCCTCCCAAAGATTTGACCTCTGTCAAAGGGTCAAATACTGGATAACATTGATGAAAGGAGCAAAAAGGACGAAAAGTTCTTTCCTCGCTACTCAAGTAGAAGCACAGACACCAAAGTTATGTCTCTTTTATATTACACTCTTATATTACACAGCCATGACATCACCTTGGCACTATTTCTGGCAAGGGTGGCCAGCAACTGCGACCCTCAAAGTCCAACTTGCCATTGGCAAGTCTAATACCTGGCAAGTTGCCAGGTATTAGACAACAGCTACTACAGAATTTTTCTCCTAGGTCCACTGTACCAAATAAAGTTTTTTAAATAAAGAATATTTCCTCAAGTTTACGTCTAGCTAACTAATTCGTGGTTTAAGCTCTTATTTTATTTATGATTAAAGGAATGTAAAATAAAACTTTTCGTTTCATTGTACAGCTGCTCCTACAGAGAAACCCAATAAGAGCATTCCACTAGTGCATCATTACCTTCTGCTCTCTAGCACAAATTGCTATTGGTGAACTATCATAAATATGAGTATTATAGTACTCTCCTTGCTCATTTCCTTGTGACATTACTTTCCCTTCAGCCTCTACAACTCACTCTGCTGCCTCATATTCTGGACCTTGTGATCTTTATTTTAGTTGAGAATTCTCAACACTCACTTCCAAGTCGAGTACTCTCAACCCACTTAGTCCACATGCCTAACAAACTTAAAACACAGTATTTTAATGGTCTAAACTCACAATACTCGCCAAAGAAAGCTTAACAACAATTTAGGTGGCTGCATTTTATTTTGATATAAGTAGGTCCTACTATGTAGCGCTCGATTTTTAAAGTATGGTATTATATATATAAATCCGTTCAAATATGAATTAAGCGCGCGGCGCGCCAAAAGAAATATTAAATATGCGCGCGCATTTTTTATTCCAACGGTCAAGTAAAATTTTAAGCATATCATTTTAATACTAAAAAGTAAATACGCATGATAAAATTTGTTACTGGGTTTTTGCGCCCTGTGCATACTAAATCAATTTATGCTGTACAATGAAATTTCGAAATTGTTCAAAGTCCGGCTCGGCGCCTTATTAATTATTACTATATACTTAACAATATAACTAAATTCATACTGGGCGGCGCTAAGCCCAACGCGAGCTGACTACTCAGAATGCGCGAGCACGTCAACATAAAATTTTTCGCGCCCTACAAACTTCGGTAGACCTTATAATTTGCAACTGAACGCTTGCGTATGTCGTAGTTCAAGCTGCGCGCGCGGTATGAGTATTTTCATTGCATCATACAACATAAATTATCGGATTATAAGTGATAAGTAGAAGCTATTTGTACAGGGATTTTCTCATCGATACTTTAAATGACTAATCTTTAAAAAACAAGGTCGATTCTTATACAATTACAATATATTTTGCATATGCGCGTTAAATCAATTCGTTATCATGTAATAATGTGTGTCATACTTAAAGCTAGTAATATTTGTGTATGGATTTTCATTCTAAAACATGGAAAGATTTCATCAATTAATGTAACTTGGTACCATATGGTTTATTTGATCTTATATGTTATCGATTTATATAGTTTTACGTTATCGTGTATCATGTATTGATAGTTATACATTATTATTATACAACGAGTCCAACCCAGCGCGCGTTTTGGTAGTTTATAAACCTACAAATAATTTTATCCCCTGATAAACTCCAAGATATTATACATCAACGGATTATAATCTCATTGTATAGTCACATAACATGATACCATGACCTAAATTTTGACAAATGGCTAAGCTCTTGACAAAAATTATAACCTGTAAAAGTCATAAAAATGATAACTTCACATAATCGGGTGGAAATCATGCTTTTTAAAATTTTTCACGAAAGTTTTTAACAGCATATTGTTTATCACATTTTTTTACACAAGATTTGAATCATGTTGTAATTTTGTTTTCCAATATTTTGATCAAAAATAATTTTTATTTGGATTTCAAAGTACGCACTACGCCGCGCAGTTAGTGGTTAGAAATCGTAATTATATTATATTAGGAGATTTGAGATTTAATCATTATTTTCACAAGTGAGTCGATATATTGCAATCCCATCTCTTTTCGTTGCTGCTCACAGCATAGAGCATCAATGCTCAAACCGTATATCTAGTTGATAGTAAAGTAGTATAGAAGTAGTAAAGTAGTATAGAAGCTGTTTCGTTGCACATTGAAATACAGATATTACTAAATGATCTTGAGAGGTTATTTAATGTAATCGATTTAGTGTTACTGCCTTTAAGCTGTGATGTGCTACTAAAACTTGTTCTAGTATAGAAAAGCACAGCGGATTTTGCTATCATGTTACACTTTTGTAGATCAGGATCGAATTTGAACGTATTACTCCTAAACAGATTATTTCAATCCTGCATTATATGGAAATATCGATAACCCATTCGAGCCTTTTTTTAAATGTGTTTATGTTTTTGAAAAAGTATATTATTGTGATACTTCCATGTATTAAATCGTTTAAATGGTATGGTAAAGAACAGTACACAGATACTTATTCTTTGATGCCCCGAAACACATTCCTAGCTCTAGATCTGCCTTACATTTCAATAATGGCTCTTTCATCACATTTGCTTGATAACTGCTGATTTGTAATGCTTAAAATTGATCCCACTCAGTTTGACTATCTTAGGTTAGCTGTAATATCGAACTCGACAGTAGCTTCCTCTGTCATGTCGGAGATCTCAGGAGACGACTGGGTATTTTGTGTCAAGAAGAGGTTAACCTCCCACTTAACAAGATAAACATCAAATTCATAGGTTTGTCTCTTTTTTGATGGTTACTGATACAGCAGTTCATGTGTTTAAAATGTATGGGTTAAATTCTAATTAAATTCGGTAATAAATATTACTGCAAATGTTGTAAACGGTAAAACCATTGTGTATAAGACAGTCAATTACCTCAGGAGTGCCAAACAGGGACCGTTTAATCGAGATGACTTCTCTGATGACAGAGATGTGGAAAAGACTACGTCCTTCTCTGGAAAACTACAAGGATAAAATACCCACCTTCTTCGGGAAAAAGTCCATCATATGCGAAAGGTAAATCGTTTATTTTTGAAAACCCGATCACGATCAAAGCATATACAATTTGGGCATGTCCCAGCCAACTTAAGCCGAAAATCTGGCTTTGAAATCTTTAATTTGAAAACACCCAAAAATGTAGTTAATATACCCCTCCACCATACCAGATCGATTTTAAGTCAGCCAAGGCATAATTGATGCCCAAAAAGCCTGTTCCAAATTTGTCTCAATTCTGTTCCAGAATCCCAACTTCTCTGAAACCAAAATGGAACATTGCCCACAAAGCCTTTTCTGAGGATGCTAGGGCCACCAAACTTTTCAAGGACACTCCTGGTATCGATACCAATCGATTCTGATCGCCTTCAACTCAGTTTAGGCGATTTTAGGGTAAAGTTCATTTTTGTTCATTTCATGAACCAGGGGATCATTTTGCACTAAAAAGGTTTTTTTAAAGTTGAACAAAAAATGTCACAATTTGATGTGTGAAAATAGTGCTTTCGATGTGAAACTGGATGATTCTTGACGCACCCTATCCCTTCGGTGGAGTATTACATTTCAAAGAAAAAAACTTCTGAGTTGCTGAACATGTTAGTAAACAATATGCCCCTCTACCATACCATATCGATTCCATGCCAGTCCAGGCATAATTACCGCTAAAAAGCATGTTTCTAAATTTGTGTCAATTGTTTCCACCATCTCAACTACTCTGAAACCAAAATAGAAACATTGCCCCAGAGCCCTTTCTGAACATGCTAGGCACACCAAACTTCTCAGGGACACTCCTGGTATCAATACCGACCGATTCCAATTGGTTTTAGCCCAATTCAGGGGATTCTAGGAAAATGTTCATTTTGTGTTCATTTCATTCATTCCATGAACCAGGGGAGTATTTTGCACTTCTAAGTGGCTGGAAATGTTAGTACATGTGTCCTTCTACCATACCAGATAGATTCCAAGTGGACACGTTCAAAAAAAGGTGGCACTAGAGATTGATTTTTTTTAAATGAGTTTTAAAAATGGTCATTGCTCTTTGTTGGTTGATATATCTATCTATACCTTTAGAAATTCGATTAAATTTCATGATCCTGAAATCACGGAGTCTGTAGTGCTTATATCACAGGAGTTATCGTTATTTGTGTGCCAATGATTCAAAAATCACACAATTAGAAATGCAAGATGAATCAACACTAGATAATCTGAAAAGTACTATTCACAAAGACGCCAAAATTGATATGGTGACTATAATGCATGTAAGGAATAAAATGTCTTATCTGAAATTGTTATTGGTGCCAAAATGATTCAAAAATCACAACTTAAACATTGGAAATGAGCCTATTTTGAGCAGTGATTATTGAATCATCTTACGTTTTTATTGGCTTTCTATCATTTTTTAGGGTACAAAATAGTATTAAATAGTATTAAAACCAGTTAATATGATTCAAAAATCACATTTTCGTTATTGGTGCGCTATTAAGTCTCACTATAGTAAGCCTTAAATTAAGTGCACAATATGACAACATATATCCATTCTATGGTTCTTATTATGTGATTTTTGAATCCATGTCTAAGCTTATACCATATTGAAGGCCTTTGAGCGATAATTTTTGATCTGGGTGGTTAAATGATTCAAAAATCACACAAATCTGGCTACCAACTATGTAATTTTCTTTAAAGTATGACAATTGAATCATATGTAATGTTCAAGTTGTAATGACATTTTGAAAAGAAAGGTAATGAATCGATAATCACATTTCAAAAATTCAATTAAGTATTATACGTAACTGATTGATTCATTTGTCACAGTATGGAGACAAAATTATCATGGCTTGAGTAGTAAAAGTACTTGCCTAGTTTAATCAGTTTAAAATCAGTGTTTTGTGATTATTGATTCCACTATTACTCTAATAACGAACTTCTCCATGACCATAAACAAGTGCAGTGTCACAACAAATTACTGCAGATTTACTATGAATACCAACCTGATATAGAGCCAAAAAGTGATGTTGTTGTTGTGAAACCAGTATTTCTGGTACCCATAGGGGATTTGAAATCAACTTATAAATCAAATGTCATTCCTCAAAGTATCATAATCAAACCCCGGGCGAGTCCAAAATTAGAAACCTGAGTATTGATTCATATGAAATATGAATGTCTCTTTAACGATAAAATTTCCTGAACCAGATCTGACTCGCTATGTCTGTTCAGACATGTTTGTCTGCCAGATCGTGGTACCTGAGTCCCTTCATTGCCGTGCATTGAAATCACACAATAACACACAAAGCTAGAATCACGGCAAATCGACATTCATCGCTTTTTCATCGGAGTACTAATGGACAGTGTTCAAATGGACAGTGTACATTCCCCTGATACAGCATCATTTCAATACATGCTCATTTATGTGATTTTTGACTCATTATGGCACTTTTAACCATCTAAATTCTCTAAATATTAGTTAGCATGATATAATTGTGATTGATAGAGTTCATTGTTACAATCATTCCGTTGATATTCATATCACATTCATCATTCTAAAATACTTAGTCAGAATTAACCCTGTATGTGATAATTGCATCGTAACTCCACATTTAACCGGTGATTCTTTGCACTTTTAACACTCAGCTATCTCAAAAAGGTTCAATAATCACATTGAGAAGCAGGACACACTCACAGAATGTAAATTCATCATTAGAGGTGCAAGAAATGAATATTTTGTGATTTCTGGCTCATATCTGCACAATTAACAGATATAAAGAGATGAATGACTTTATTATGTGACATTTGAATCTTTTTGGACCACATTAAAATTTGGTTAACTTTCATAGCATACTCCTTGAGATCCAAGTATTTTAAAATGCTTCACACAATTTTGGCAGTGAAAAATCAATCTCTAGTGCCACCTTTTTATGAACGTGTCCAAGTCAGTACAAGCATAAATACGGCTGTAAAAGCATGTTTCCAAAATTGTATCAAATGTTTCCACCATCTCAACTACTATTTTCATTTTTGTTCATTTTCCATACATTCCATGAACCTGGGTAATGTTATTTGAGTTTTGATGGCTCTTAGGCCTAGTTTTTACCTACATCCATCTTAGAAAACCGAATTGAGGCTTCCCAGCACTTAAATACAGCCAATACTTCGATGTGCCCATGTTCCAAAAATCTGGATTCTCAGGAGGATTATTGTGCCAAAATTGGGACATTTTGGAACATTGGTAACATCGGTTCTAGACATGCAATGATTCTCAAACTTGGTTTGAGTGGTCCTAGGACTAATATAAACACTTTCCGACCCATTTTAAACCATTCTGAGCACTTTGAGAAGAATGTTCATTTTCGTTCATTTCTGGTCATTCCATGGGTAGTTTTATACGACTTTTTATGGTTCCTAGGCCTAGCTTACGGCTATATCCATCTTAGAAATCCGAACTGAGCCTTCCCAGCACTCAAATACGGCCAATACTGTGATGTGCCCATGTTCCAAATTTATGAATTCATCTACTGCATCTTCTGATGGCGGCTGGCGCGAATTCGATTTTCGGTAAAAACCACATCAGTTTTCAAATTTGAGATATTTTTAGCGCGCGGCGCGCGCACTGCGTGTTAAATTTTAAATTTACGCCAGCTAGCAGGTGTCAGATTTACTGGTTATAATTGTGGGAAGTCCATCTATGTTTATTATTAATAATTTTTGGTTGACTATTTATTTTCCCCAGGAAACTTACTCACGTGCGAAAGACGAACTCTAAGAATTGGAGAATAACGGCAGTAGACAGCAGCTAACTTCCCCTGTACTCAACGACATTGAACAATAGACATGAAATGACTCGCTGACCCCCTACAAAGTACTTGTGCTCGGAGGCAGAATTTGGCATCGTTTGGGTCGAGAGATTTCCAAGGGTAATGATACAGTTAAACTGTATAAAAATACCTCTCAAAAACAACCTTCTCCTGGTCGGCCATGTCCCTCATCCTGCACTTGACCCCTGCAGAGGTCACAAGAACATCGGAGCACAAATGAGCGAGAAACGGGGAAGCCTTAGCTTCCGGGTCAAGGACTGCATCACTAGCACCTACCTATTGAACCTATTGATAGGTTTAAAAGTAGGCATCTTCACGCAATCTGCGGACCACCTCCTAGCAGCGAAATACGGATATACCCTCCCTATTACATGCGTTCAACCGGCACCCGAACCACACGCTGTTTCTTAGACACAACTTCCCACTTAAATCAGTGTCCTGTCGCATCAACTGGCATCGGCAAGTGGCGACACTGTGTAGACTCAACCCTGAGCTTGATCAGAATCTTCAGTCACAAACCTGACACCGTTTCGGGGCTTGCAATACGGTTTTCTGTCAGGCTCCCAGCAGTTTCTTTTGGACCACCATCTCATCTGACAATCACCCGAGGATACCTGCCAGAGCTCGCAATTTACGACGAGTTAGCTTATGGCACCTCTGGCTGTTAAGTGAAGTCATAAAGCTCAAACAGCTCTCATCTCCCATTCTCTCTTCCTAGACAGCAGACCTGGGAGAAACTCCTTCTAGCCGGACGTCACGCGTGATGTACGAGAAACTACGGACAGGTGTGTACCTATACTTTTTAAAATTACACATTTCGTCTGGATTGTGATTCACTGCAAAACAAGTCGCAGGTTCCAATTGTAGAACTATAAAATTTTAATAATTCATGGTTGATTATACGGCCTAAGCGGTATACAAATAAAGCGTTATTATTATTATTGCCTCTAATCCTCAGGGTACTCCTACTTGCGTGCGAAAGACAAAGGCAGCAAGAATCGAAGAACAGAACCCCGACCACACTGCTTGTGAGAAATGAGCAGCTCTTGATCTAGGACAAAAAACTTTCTTCTGTTTAATATCTAAAACGTGTTACGTGTGATATTACACCAACTTTTGATTAATAATACGAAACTTTATACCTTATAAAGTATGATATTTAAACACGAAAATTTACATTCTGAAATTGGTATAGTGTTCCTTTAACTGTTCCTTCAACTTTCATCGTAGCTTTTTTCAAAATATTCTTCAGTGCCATCAACAAACAGATTTTTTCATTTGACTGAACTGTGCCATATTTGATATTGCCTCTGTATTTTATAGGGAAAATTTTTTAAATCTTGCAAGTTGATGTAATTAAGTTTTAAGTTAACGTATTATAGATATGTTAACACTAGTTTATGTTTCAGTATTTAAATTGTTTCCATTTATAGTTTAACCGATCCCTGTTGTAGAGTTATCAGATCTTTACTTAGGATAAACAATATAATATGAAGTTCGATAATAATATTAATAAACATTAATTGTATTCACTGTTTTCTAGTCATCAAACTTCAGATCAGGAGGTGACCGGGACATGATTTTAGGCCTGACCGGGACCGGGATACAAAATGTGACTTGACCGGGACCGGGACTGAGATTATCAATTTACCGTGACCGGGACCGGGACCAATAATTTCTGGGATTTCTATCTTACCGGGACCAGGACCGGGACCAACAATACAATTTTTTCGGGATGACCGGGATTTTACCGGGATTTGACCGGGATGACCGGGACCAAAACTGGTATTCTCATATTGAAAGCTGCAACTTTCATTTACATTATAATTGAACAATTTGAATAAGTAATAACTAGAATATTAAATTAGAATAAACTAGAAAAAACCCGTCAATATGGGGCATGGGCCTAATGTACTACACCAATAATGTTCATGTACTGATTACTCAAGTTCACCCTCATTCCTCAGTCAATGATCCCTCAAATTATTCAACAGTTTCATTCTCCAATTGACAATTGGGCGTAGCCCGAGTTGAAAACTTGATGTTAGTTTGCACTTATGAGTTATGTAACGATATTAGTTACCTAAACTTATTTAGCAATTTTAAACATTGTTTTATTTGGCTCAGAGATTGTTTAAAGATGAAATTCACAATGAATGAAAGTAAAAACTTAAAATCACAGTGAATGAAATTATTAAAAGATCCCGGTCAAAATCCCGGCAAATTTGAGTGATTGACCGGGACCAAGAATCCTGAATTAACCGGGACCGGGATCATAAATCAGCATTTGACCGGGACCGCGACCGGGATGAAAAATGTGACTTGACCCGGTTGACCGGGACCGGGATAACTCAAAATTGCCAATCCCGGTCACCTCCTGCTTCAGATCGGGGTAATATAATGTACAAAATGATACGCTCTCGAATGCACGCTTCCTTTTCCTCACCTTCGCATCTTTGATCTTGTTAAGTAAAACACATAGTAAGGTTCCCCAGAAATGTCCTGTAAACTTGACTTTTTATTTAGGCCGGTAAAAACCCACAACTGACTGAGGTTTCGAAATACAGCCAAGAACTCAGATATGACACAATCAATTTTATGTGTATGAAACAAATTTTCAACTGTCTGGCGGCGATCAGCATGTCATACTGACTAAACTCTAATCGGTTTATGAAAATTACATCCCGGTTAATGAAAAGCGTAGCCTGGAGTTCCCGCTCCCAGGTAAAATACATACATAAATGAGGACCGCCAAGCAAGGAATGAAGAACGAAATTAAATATTATCTAATCGATTACAAATCTTGCAGATTCCTGAAATTAAATGTAAAATGCAGCTAAACTCGTGCATCTAATAATAATATGACAATATGATAGAATTGTAATAATGCTACATGCTACGCGCGCTAAAACGATGAATCTAATCTAAATCTAGTAACCATATCAACGCGCAGTAACCATAGTAACGCGCTCGATTCAATTCCAGTATATTGCGACGAGTGTTTACATCACTAAATTAGCTGTAACTTTGTGTGATTATGGACGATCGTGCTAAATTTAAGGCGCTGTGGCTAAAATCGTCCACTGAACCAACAGGTAAAATTTCAGAGAGATCGTCCCCAGCGCTCATTTTCACCTCGCGAATGATCAGCTCGCAGTGGGAGCTTGTCAATCCGCTTTTCACATAGCCATGTGTCTACGTGTACAGCGTGACGCGCTTGTTTCACAGCCCCCCACTTTAAACTTCTGTCTAAATTGGAAGGATTTGGTGTTTATAGGAGAAAAGTTGTAGCGCGATGCGTTACTGTGCCGCGCCGCGCACTCAATGAGGCTTCTCACAGCGACATCTAGATCGGCGAGATGCGCTACTGTGCCGCGCCGAGCTGCCATGAATTGACATCGTCAATTAAGAGAAAAGTATTAAATGTTATAAAGGATTTTCGAACAGATAGGAAGCTATGAGAGTTTTTGTAGAAGGACAATGGTCTGTTAATCTTAATAGTAATCCTAACTTAAATTATTTTGTTAATGGTGTAGAACTTGAAGCATCTGCTCAGGAAAAAGACTTGGGGGGTTATTACCCATAACTCCTTGCTTTGGAATGAGCAGATAAAAGCATGCATTTCTAAAGCAAATCGTATGATATGTTGGATTATAAGGAATTTAGTAATAAGGGAAAAAGGAGTTATGATAACCATCTATAAAGCTTTAATAAGACCTCATCTAGAGTATTGTGTCCAATTGTGGAATCCAGTTGCGGCTCATGGAAGTTGGGGGATTGTTTTGGAGCACAAGGCCAAGGGTAATTTTTGAGTGTTTAGGGAATTTTTTATATTCTTAAAGGTTTGTTTTTATATAGGGTCATTGCTATATTATGTGTATATTGTTTGAATAATTAAAAAAAAAAAAAAAAAAAAATTGTTTTGGAGCTGGAGAGCGTCCAGAGGCGGTTTACCCGTCTTATTAATGAGGTGGGTACTCTTCCTTACAGCCGTAGACTGGAAATTCTCAATTTGACAACGCTGGCAGAGCGGCGAATACGTGGGGACCTTATTGAAGCTTTTAAGGTTATTAATGGTTTGACCGAGTACGGCTCCGATTTGTTCAAAGTGAGCAGATCTGGTCTTAATCTTGTATCATCCAACAGATGTTGTAAGAGTATGGCGAAGATTAGGAATCTCCAAAGTTCATTTCTTCCAGAGCGAGTTATTCCTTACTGGAACAAACTTCCTCCAGATGTTAAGAACTCGGTGACTGTTTTAAGTTTTAAGATTAAATTAGAAGGGTTTAAGAAAGATATGACTTCTAAGGATATTTCTAATGATTCACATTTTTGGAATGTTTCAAATGAAGTATTAGGGAGAATTGAAGGACCTAGCTATGTTAGTAATAAAGAGAAGCATAACGATTATCTTTATTTCCACCCTTTTGTGGCAAAAAAGTTATTTATAAATCTTTATTCCACTGGGAAGTATGAATAGGGTTATCTTTTGGAGATGCTTTTTGAACTTATTTGATATTTTTTAATAAAGTTGTAGTTAATAATTTATTAATTTTGGTGGAAAGATATTTATATTTTTCCATATAGTGATTTGATACTTTGTAGACATGTGTGATGATGTTATGTCATAATTTTTACTCTTACTTACTTTTACTTTTAGAATATACTTCGGCGGTCGCGCGCTACTGCAAGCGAGAGGGCTCTGATTAGAGCAAAATCCGCTTTATTATCTTAAATCGTGTTTATGGATATCAAAGCCTGATTTCCCCAGTTGTAAGGGCCTGCAACGGCGGAATTATTAAAAATTAATCTGAAATAGAATGTGTTATTAACATTTAAAATAACACTATAGAAATATAAACCACTCACTGACTCTCACTGGTCACTAACCTCCCTAACACTTACTACCCGATTATATATTACTAATTAAATCAATGTTTATACAAAATACACTTTCTTGGTTTTTCTACTTTTAGGTTACTCTTCTATTTTCGTGACGCTTACTGCTTACAACTTTTTACTACTTCTTCTTTCACTGCGTGCATCTTTGGTTGGCGTATTTATTAAATTTAATACAATTGCCGGATGAGTATTAAATATTAAATTTTAATATTTGTCACAGAATGAGCTGAGTTTCGTGGGTGCATCTTGACACCCACACACAGCAGGTTGGAAATTCGTAAGCTGAAAGAAGAATCTGTGGAGATCTTTTAGAAACCTTTAATATATTTAGTGAATCAGTAGAATATGTAGTTCAAGGGGGCTATATTTATGAGTCGCATTTGAACTTGATTTCTCTTGGAGAATTTCTCTTTAGACTCTTAACTTGCGAACAAATTGAAGCAGCAAACTTTAGGCTAGAAACTTTATTGAATTGAAATAATCATTCCACGTAACAACGTCTTCTTCAGTTCTGTAATAAAATTGTTAAACATGTGTAAAAATTAACGACGGAAAGAAATTTAAAATAACATTAAAACAAAAACAGAGAAATAAAATTTACGAAATATGACCCAAAAATGTAATTGCAAAAAATGTCAAAACAACAAAAAATATACGACAAGAAGAAATGTAAGCTAATACAACTAAATACTGTACTACTCATGATACTAAACTAATTAGTAAACGTAAAACTGGTTGTTCAGAATTCACAGTTCATGTGTAAAAACTAATGATAAAATCAGCACTTAAGCAACGATAACTCGGTTGTCATGGTTACTATCCAAGATAGTCCTATCAATACATTATTTACTAGTTAAACATCGACTAAATATTTGTACAAATAACTCAACTCAGAACGATCATTCATTTCAGGACTTAATCTCAATATATACATCGCTTCTACAATCTTTCTACGAACAGTTTTACTCTGTAAATCAAGTAACTTAAAAGATAAAACTGGGGTTCGGTTAGGATGTAGAGATGCGTAGTGCTGTCCAACCCCATTCTCTGGATGTGCTCTAGGATTCCTAGCAGCCTGTCTGTGCTCCATCAGACGAGCATGGAGGCTTCTCTCAGTTTCCCCACAGTATCTCTTACCACATAACTCGCAAGTAACTAAGTAAATAGCTCCTTTTGTTGAGCATGTTGTTCCTGTGAGTCTAGGGCAGATCTCACAATTGTTAGGGTTACCAAGGTCACAAGTCTTCTTATCCAGTGGACGAGAGCGGCAGAAGATGTCCTGTAACTTCTTACCAGGTGTAAAAATAACTCTGATGGGGAGTTTGTTAGATTTGATGTAGTTGCGAATCTTATTACAAATTGTTCCAGAGATGAATGGTAAGGTGAGTGGGACAGAGTCAGGTGTGGTTTGACGTCTTCTCCTAGTCCTCCTGTTCCTTGCGTTATGACTTAGAGGTAGGAAAAGTGCACCACAGATTCTACAGGAAAACCCAGAACAAGGGGATAACATTACACCAGAAGTCACACCACCCGGACTCAGTGAAGGAGGAGTGTAAGAAGAACTTCTACCGTAATGCCACCATTGCTTCCTCAGGACCCCAGGAACTCGATCATTCAGTTAATATCATCGATGATCTCTTAAAGAAAAATGGACACCAACCTCTGAGTCATAACGCAAGGAACAGGAGGACTAGGAGAAGACGTCAAACCACACCTGACTCTGTCCCACTCACCTTACCATTCATCTCTGGAACAATTTGTAATAAGATTCGCAACTACATCAAATCTAACAAACTCCCCATCAGAGTTATTTTTACACCTGGTAAGAAGTTACAGGACATCTTCTGCCGCTCTCGTCCACTGGATAAGAAGACTTGTGACCTTGGTAACCCTAACAATTGTGAGATCTGCCCTAGACTCACAGGAACAACATGCTCAACAAAAGGAGCTATTTACTTAGTTACTTGCGAGTTATGTGGTAAGAGATACTGTGGGGAAACTGAGAGAAGCCTCCATGCTCGTCTGATGGAGCACAGACAGGCTGCTAGGAATCCTAGAGCACATCCAGAGAATGGGGTGGGACAGCACTACGCATCTCTACATCCTAACCGAACCCCAGTTTTATCTTTTAAGTTACTTGATTTACAGAGTAAAACTGTTTGTAGAAAGATTGTAGAAGCGATGTATATATTGAGATTAAGTCCTGAAATGAATGATCGTTCTGAGTTGAGTTATTTGTACAAATATTTAGTCGATGTTTAACTAGTAAATAATGTATTGATAGGACTATCTTGGATAGTAACCATGACAACCGAGTTATCGTTGCTTAAGTGCTGATTTTATCATTAGTTTTTACACATGAACTGTGAATTCTGAACAACCAGTTTTACGTTTACTAATTAGTTTAGTATCATGAGTAGTACAGTATTTAGTTGTATTAGCTTACATTTCTTCTTGTCGTATATTTTTTGTTGTTTTGACATTTTTTGCAATTACATTTTTGGGTCATATTTCGTAAATTTTATTTCTCTGTTTTTGTTTTAATGTTATTTTAAATTTCTTTCCGTCGTTAATTTTTACACATGTTTAACAATTTTATTACAGAACTGAAGAAGACGTTGTTACGTGGAATGATTATTTCAATTCAATAAAGTTTCTAGCCTAAAGTTTGCTGCTTCAATTTGTTCGCAAGTTAAGAGTCTAAAGAGAAATTCTCCAAGAGAAATCAGTAGAATATGGTACAGATATTTTTAACATCAGTAGATGAGATGTGAATATCGTTTCAAACATAGAGTGCAATATTAAAAGATTTTATGACACGTATCTACCATCTAACCATGCAGACTTACTAATACTGTCATATTGTATCATTTTTTAATAGTAAAGGTCATTCAAACAATATATATATATATACACAATAAATTAAATCAAGTGATGCAATTGGCAGAGCACAATCATAAATCATGAGCAATTGTATATCATATTGTATCATTCTTTAGCTGAATAAATTCTTTGAACGTAATTCAATACTAAAGATTATTTTTTCATAAAGGTTTGTCCTACTTATTTATTTGTATCATTGTGACTCTTAACTTACCATTTTCCCTCAGTTGTAGCAAGAATAAGTGCACATGTGATCTGTAATCAAGGTTTCCAGTACTGTTGTATTGGACTTGTCAGCATGTAAGATAGTTCCTGAAACTCTATCATATAGCTATGGGTGAAGATGGCGAACTTCCTTCAACCAGCAAAGAAGAAAATCTAGAGGCTTCAGAATCGATTGCATTGTATGAAATTTCCTTAGAAACTGTGGATGATGAAGATGAAGAAACTGACAGTATTCAATCCTTGAAACATGCAGCTAACAGGCTTTTGGGGGCAGATGATATTATTAAATCAGAAATTGTATCAAGCGCATTTACTTCAGAAATTGCAATTGACCAAACATGGGGTGAATGGATGCAGGAACTCCCTGGATCAACATGGATCAAAGTACGTACATTCGGAAAAGTCCAATGGAGATGGTCAAAAAACTGTGTCCATTATGCTCATTTGCCAGAATGGTTAAAAGATAACAGATTTCTTCTCCGGTGCAACCGTCTACCAATTTACAGTTTTACTGGTTGTATGCTAAGTGCATTCAGAATCCACACTGAAACGGGTAACATCTGGACTCATCTCATTGGTAGCCTTCTGACAGTTGGATATTGTATTTATGCTTTTGCTTCTCGTTTACACAAGTTGCACTGGACTGAGCAGCTGGTCTATGCAGCATTCTTCCTTGCAGCCTCCTTGTGTATGGGATTCAGTTGTATTTTCCATGCTGTTATCAATCATTCCCCGAAAGTTTTCAAGTTGTTTAGTCGTCTGGACTACTCTGGAATTTCTCTTCTTGTTATTGGAAGCTATATGCCTTGGTTGTACTACTCTTACTTCTGCCATCCAACCATCTATGTTGTCTACACTGTTGTCACCTGTGTCATGGGTATATCAGGGATATTTGTGTCTCTTTGGGATGAGTTTGATAAGCCTAAATACCGAAATGTTAGGGCAGGTGTTTTTCTTACAATGGGTCTCTCAGCTGTAGTACCTGCTTTTCATTATGCAATTAAATTTGGCTGGTCTATTGCTCTAGATAGAGCGTCTTTAGGATGGATGATATTGATGGGCAGTCTGTATGTTTTTGGAACCATGCTGTACATGTTTCAAATCCCGGAAAGATGGTTTCCTGGAAAATTTGATATTTGGGGCCAAAGTCATCAAATGTTTCATATATTTGTTTTGGTTGCTGTGTTTGTTCATTACCATGGTATTTCTGTTTTAGAAGCGAATCATACTGAGGATATTCTTAATAACCGAGTTTGTACAGATAATATTTTAAATACTACTACATTTGGTTGAGATTGTTACACAACAGTTAGCAGTATACACATATGAGAAGTTTACTTTAGAAAAATGTGAAATCAATTGAATGTTGACCCCAAGATTTCATATGATGAAAGGTTTCACATGCTGGCTTTTGCCGTTCCTCAGTTATGTTTTCTGCAAGCTCTTCATGAGACATTGTTTTAAGTTGGCGCATCCTTTCTGTACTCTGCTAATATCTCATGCATTTAGATCTGACCCCATAGATTTTACTATGATTTAATAAGATATGCTTCTATTTTCTGCAACTGTAGTAACTTAATTTAGATGGTCTTGTATTGTGAAATTGTATAATTGATAATTATATTATATATTATTATAATATATTATACTTGAAACCCGCTAGTCAAAATGCCACTTTAAAATAAGTATGATGTTCCGATTTCTTCATATGGAGTATGGACCCACTGTGACCCGTCTACAATCTTTTTTAATTTATTCCCGATGACAACTAAGTTAAAAGTATTCCCTAGTTAAACTTTTTACCGCATCAAAAAATATCAATCACAACCAAAGGTTTTGTGATGTATCTAATAGTGACTTTTCAACTCCATTTGCAAGCTGAAAATGTTGTCACCGGTAACTTTTTGACCAATTTATTTTCTGTGCTTTTGCCGGGCTGATTTCGTCAAGTTTAAAATAATAATATGAATATTTATATTATAATATTGAAGTGACAAATTTATTCACTGGATGTGATGACTGTTCATATATATTCTTTCTTAACAATGTTATATAGGGCCCAAGCTGCACCTTCGACATGGGCATTTGTGATTTAAGAGTTTAGAACCTGTATTTAAAAAGTGATTTCTGCTTTTCCAGCAGCCCTTCCCGGTCAAGTCTTTGTTTTGAAGAAAATTCTGACAGCCTTCTAACAACCGGCGCGGCTGTTACGGTAACAGCCCTCTAATAGGCCTCTAACAGTTATTTTGGGGGGACAAATACCTAACAGTCGATGCTTACTTGTGTTTTGTTAAATGGCTATTAGCCGGTTAATAGCCTGCCGGCATTACACCTATTTGCATTCTCCTTTAGTAAGCATAATAATTATGATGTCTAATTCTAATGCTATTGTATGCAATTTATTCAATTTCTGTCCTCTATTATATTTGTTTACCTCAATACAGAAATAAAGCATGATTTGCTTTATCTCTACGTCATGATGATTTATCATATTAGCCTGTCACATTTATAATACGTTATGTCCCAAATATAAGTGCAGTAAACCCTAATTTACCATAGAGTTTTTAAGAGAAGGAAATTTTTAACTATCGGACAATCTTTTCTCACTGTACACTCCCAGCGAAACCTCGAAGGCTCCTGTCCACTCCTACCCCACTCCTCACCTGTAACATCCAAACCAGAACCTGCAAACAAACCTGCATATGCTCGCTTCGCAACCTGCAGAAGCCAACCCAGTAAGCCTGTGCCAGAGACCAAACCTGCAAAGCCCACGGAACCTGGCCGCAAACCTGCAAAGCCCACGGAACCAGTAAACAAACTGTTCCTAAAGCTGTCTCCCAAAGTACTCCTCAGGAGACTTCACCTCCTAAGAACATGTGGACTTATAGGATGCCAACCTAGGAGGGCATTATGCCAAGTAAAAGGACCCAAGTGGGTACTTTATTACTTTACACTTTTTATATTTTGTACAATCGGAATCCTCACATATTAGGGAGAAGAAGGGATGGGTAATGCTTACGCGAGTTTAATTTTTAGCAGTAATTACTCTCATTGTCTAAATGACTATCGTTAGGGGTCGAAGTCCCCACATCCAGAAACACGCCTTCTTGCCAGGCAGCTGGGAGGAAATTTTTTTTTGGGAGGAAACCACTGAGATAGAAGAGGAAATTTTGAGAAGTTACTCCTTAATTTCCGAATTATTTTTTTGAATAACGGACAAATAATTGAGGCAATTTTTGATGGAACAATGTTTCAATAGTATAAAAAATCAAAAGAGGGAACATCCGTCAGTTTTGGAACACAGTGGAAATATTCTGATTGGAGAATCCAGCTTGCTGTTGTGAAGTTACCAAATTTACGTGAGTACTCTGATCTCTTTTCAATCCAGTTTATTGCTGTCTACCAATTTCTGTAATTTATCTGCGCCCCTAGCCCCCGCAAGAGGGGCTCCGCCCCTGGACCCAGGGGGGGGTGGGGCGGGGGGCCCCCCCCCCCCCCCCCCCCCCCAAGGGGGTGCCCGCGAGGAGATGGGGGCTGCGCCCCCAGACCCCAGCCACAGCGGCTCGCTTCGCACGCTGCACGGCTGATTGGTCACGTCGATCGCCGACAGCACGCCCCCCCCCCCCCCCCCCCCAAACTTGCGTAGCGAAGCGCGCCGGGCCAACAGAATTAGAAAAAAACGCATCTGGAGGAACATATAAAATTTCTGGATGTGGGGTCGAAGTTGGTTCAAAATTCTGGCTATCATTATTACGTAATTGTGAGCGGATCCCCAAATGGTGAAAAAATAATGTGTATTGTATACGTTTATATCGTGCATGATATTAAAATTACCACAGTTTTTCTTCATGCAAGTGTGAATATTAACCCTGGTTTGGTAATACTGGCTGCAAGTTCTTGTTGTTAGATGGATTTAATATCTAACTGGCAATCTTCAGGTAATGCTCACGTAGCCAAACAACTCAATATCGTGAAGCCCTGAGGTGTTATGACAAGTGCTATTCTCACTAATCAAGGACATGTACCAGCTCACCTTAACTCCGCACTTGCATCTTATATCGAGGTTGTTGAGTTATTAATCTTCATCTTTGTTGGTTTTTAACATGTTTTAAAATGCTATCTTGTATGTTATCAATAAAACAAGTAAATGTCCGTCCCGTTATTACTTCTTAGATGTAAATAGTCGCCAAGAACTTAAAATATTGTCGACATTTTAACAAAAATATATGGCAACCAAGCACTAAGCAGTCTACTTATTTTCATATATTTTTGAAACATTTTTTATCACCATTTTTGTAGAAAAATCGTTAGCACTTAGCAGTATAACAGTAAAACCCCGATTTACCACAGACCACACTTTATCACAGCGTTTTCCTTCTCTTAAAAACTCTACGGTAAATAAGGGTTTACTGCACTTATATTTGGGACATAACGTATTATAAATGTGACAGGCTAATATGATAAATCATCATGACGTAGAGATAAAGCAAATCATGCTTTATTTCTGTATTGAGGTAAACAAATATAATAGAGGACAGAAATTGAATAAATTGCATACAATAGCATTAGAATTAGACATCATAATCGTTATGCTTACTAAAGCAAAGGAGAATGCAAATAGGTGCAATGCCGGCAGGCTATTAACCGGCTAATAGCCATTTAACAAAACACAAGTAAGCATCGGCTGTTAAGTATTTGTCCCCCCAAAATAACTGTTAGAGGCCTATTAGAGGGCTGTTACCGTAACAGCCGCGCCGGTTGTTAGAAGGCTGTCAGAATTTTCTTCAAAACAAAGACTTGACCGGGAAGGGCTGCCGGAGAAGCAGAAATCACTTTTTAAATACAGTTTCTCTTAAATCACAAATTCCCATGTCAAAAGGTGCAGCTTGGGCCGTATATAACATTGTTAAGAAAGAATATATATGGACACGTTCATTTGAGTTTGAGGATATTGGTAAACAAAAATAATAGCGTTTTTGACGATAGTGGCTTAATTTTGACATCTATTAACCTAGCACGTTCAGAAGTTCTGAACATTAGCCACGTAACCCATACTCCCATATGCACCGCTCAGAAAGAAAATCTATTGTTGTTAGGCACTATAATGTTTCAAAAGTAACATTTTGTGTGACTTAGTTAACTGCAGTTGTCTAATTATCATTCCTTGGTCTGAAATATAGTAAATTAGGTGAATCTAACAATTATGATACAACATTGGTTAATGGGCACGGATCGAACGGTTACAAGGCAATATTTGGGTAACTTTGTCACACTCATGATACCATACCTCTATTCTACTGTGAGGTGTCCTAAAAACCCTTTCAACTCATTATTTGATGGTTGCTCTACCAATCATAGCCCTAAAATATTTTGTTTTGAATAGTTAGCTAATACAGGCACTCGGTTACTGGGAAATGAGGTTAATTCTGTCACAATATATGGAATTTAAAATTTTGGGCGAATTATTTATATATCTGATTTTGGTTTGAAAGGCGGGAAAATTTTATATGATGACAATGTAGTTGATGCAAGTTAAGGTCAGTTGATGTTAACATTGTCACAAAAAAATTATACGAAATCGTAAATAGATTAAAAACAATGATTATAGAATGAAATAGTCTCTTATAATAACTCTTATAATAACTCTTATAATAACTGATGTGACAAAGTAAACATGTCTTGCCCCTATTTTGAAGATCTATATTCTATACCTCTATTAGAATATTGTCCAGAACATCAAGAGCTTAAGTTTAGCAATTTTAGGTTAAATTTGTCAAAGTCACTAAAAATGTGACAAAATTAACTTTTCATGCCCCAACAATTTCAAGATAGTGTGTAAAAATTAGCATATGCTGCTTTATTACCTATATAAATCAATCCAAACTACAAAAAATATATGTTAATGTGATGACGATTACCTAACTGTTATAATAACTGATGTGACAAAGTAAACATGTCTTGCCCCTATTTTGAAGAACTATACCTCTATTAGAATACTATGTAACTTTATCATCAAAAAAATGTCGATAAACTAGTTATTTTGCCAGCAAGGAGCTAACAGAGTTATAATAATTTTTTGTGACGAAATTACCCTATTTTTGACCATGTAGCGGTAGTTTAATTGTGACACTGTTAACATATTACCACCTGATAATGATTTATGTGACTGGTGCATGGTACTAGCAGTGTTGTTTGATCCATAGTACGTATAATATAAGGGGTTTAAGCTGGTATATCATTATTTGTTCAATTTCACACATGTTCAGATATCATCAAGATTATGTGACAAAGTAAGCTTGGTTGTGCCTTCTGTGTTTTAATTCCTTACGACTATATGATATAATAACAATTCCCAGCACTTCCAGGCCATCAAATAAACTTACACTACTCAGCATTGCTTATCAGGGTGCCCTAAACATTCATCACATATTTTCTTTAATATGTGACAGAGTAAACCTGAATGCACCATCTAACGAAAAAAGTCGTCAAATATGTAGGTAATGGTCATATGTACCCATCCAATCAACTGGACACTCAAAAATTTGGTCAAAAACGGCAGCAAGGGGTCCATATTTACTCCGTCACATGTTTATAGTGTGACAATGTAACCATTTCCGTGCCTGCCGTATTTAAGCGATATCTTATCACCTGATTAAGATATCGTTATGTGACAAAGTTAGCCTGGAGGATGAGACGATTATCCTAACCATCAAGGGTTTAAGTAATTTCATAGTGTGACAAAGTCAACTACACTGTGCCTTTTAATAGGGTCACTTATATTTACCAATATCCTCAAACTCAAATGAACGTGTCCATATATATGAACAGTCATCACATCCAGAGAATAAATTTGTCACTTCAATATTATAATATAAATATTCATATTATTATTTTAAACTTGACGAAATCAGCCCGGCAAAGGCACAGAAAATAAATTGGTCAAAAAGTTACCGGTGACAACATTTTCAGCTTGCAAATGGAGTTGAAAAGTCACTATTAGATACATCACAAAACCTTTGGTTGTGATTGATATTTTTTGATGCAGTAAAAAGTTTAACTAGGGAATACTTTTAACTTAGTTGTCATCGGGAATAAATTAAAAAAGATTGTAGACGGGTCACAGTGGGTCCATACTCCATATGAAGAAATCGGAACATCATACTTATTTTAAAGCGGCATTTTGACTAGCGGGTTTCAAGTATAATATATTATAATAATATATAATATAATTATCAATTATACAATTTCACAATACAAGACCATCTAAATTAAGTTACTACAGTTGCAGAAAATAGAAGCATATCTTATTAAATCATAGTAAAATCTATGGGGTCAGATCTAAATGCATGAGATATTAGCGGTGTACAGAAAGGATGCGCCAACTTAAAACAATGTCTCATGAAGAGCTTGCAGGAAACATAACTGAGGAACGGCAAAAGCCAGCATGTGAAACCTTTCATCATTTGAAATCTTGGGGTCAACATTCAATTGATTTCACATTTTTCTAAAGTAAACTTCTCATATGTGTATACTGCTAACTGTTGTGTACAATCTCAACCAAATGTAGTAGTATTTAAAATATTATCTGTACAAACTCGGTTATTAAGAATATCCTCAGTATGATTCGCTTCTAAAACAGAAATACCATGGTAATGAACAAACACAGCAACCAAAACAAATATATGAAACATTTGATGACTTTGGCCCCAAATATCAAATTTTCCAGGAAACCATCTTTCCGGGATTTGAAACATGTACAGCATGGTTCCAAAAACATACAGACTGCCCATCAATATCATCCATCCTAAAGACGCTCTATCTAGAGCAATAGACCAGCCAAATTTAATTGCATAATGAAAAGCAGGTACTACAGCTGAGAGACCCATTGTAAGAAAAACACCTGCCCTAACATTTCGGTATTTAGGCTTATCAAACTCATCCCAAAGAGAAACAAATATCCCTGATATACCCATGACACAGGTGACAACAGTGTAGACAACATAGATGGTTGGATGGCAGAAGTAAGAGTAGTACAACCAAGGCATGTAGCTTCCAATAACAAGAAGAGAAATTCCAGAGTAGTCCAGACGACTAAACAACTTGAAAACTTTCGGGGAATGATTGATAACAGCATGGAAAATACAACTGAATCCCATACACAGGGAGGCTGCAAGGAAGAATGCTGCATAGACCAGCTGCTCAGTCCAGTGCAACTTGTGTAAACGAGAAGCAAAAGCATAAATACAATATCCAACTGTCAGAAGGCTACCAATGAGATGAGTCCAGATGTTACCCGTTTCAGTGTGGATTCTGAATGCACTTAGCATACAACCAGTAAAACTGTAAATTGGTAGACGGTTGCACCGGAGAAGAAATCTGTTATCTTTTAACCATTCTGGCAAATGAGCATAATGGACACAATTTTTTGACCATCTCCATTGGACTTTTCCGAATGTACGTACTTTGATCCATGTTGATCCAGGGAGTTCCTGCATCCATTCACCCCATGTTTGGTCAATTGCAATTTCTGAAGTAAATGCGCTAGATACAATTTCTGATTTAATAATATCATCTGCCCCCAAAAGCCTGTTAGCTGCATGTTTCAAGGATTGAATACTGTCAGTTTCTTCATCTTCATCATCCACAGTTTCTAAGGAAATTTCATACAATGCAATCGATTCTGAAGCCTCTAGATTTTCTTCTTTGCTGGTTGAAGGAAGTTCGCCATCTTCACCCATAGCTATTATATGATAGAGTTTCAGGAACTATCTTACATGCTGACAAGTCCAATACAACAGTACTGGAAACCTTGATTACAGATCACATGTGCACTTATTCTTGCTACAACTGAGGGAAAATGGTAAGTTAAGAGTCACAATGATACAAATAAATAAGTAGGACAAACCTTCATGAAAAACTAATCTTTAGTATTGAATTACGTTCAAAGAATTTATTCAGCTAGAATGATACAATATGAAATAATAATTTAAACTTATAGATTATAGTGGCACAACAACTTAAAATGCACAGGTGTGCCACGAAAACAAGTCAGGATACAAGAAAACCTGAAAAGCAATCCACATTTAGGTTCCAAACCATAGAAAATTGTAAAGACTTGATACACTAAATTACAAGGTTAAGGGTATGCACTTAACAGTAGAAACGTTGAAAAAATAGTAAATTAATTAATATCAAAAGCACGTTTAAAAAGAAACGTTTTCAGATACACTTTAAAAGATTCCAGTGACATGCAATTCTTAATTTCAACAGGCAGCTCATTCCATAATTTAGGGCCAACTTTCTGAAACGATCTTTCTCCATACTGTGAATATACTCTTGGTTCAGTCAAATAGATAAGATGATTATAATTGGCATATTTAAACATATCACTTAAATAATCTGGTCCCATACCATTAAGGGGGCCGGGGGGGTCTTCATCAAAATTCTCTCGAAATTGATTTTATAGTTGTTTCTGATAGAGGAGAGTGATATCTATCAGCTGCTTTTGGTCCCATGGAAAAATATTGTTCCTAGCCAAAATTATCGCCAGTCAAAGGTCAGCGCTCATGTGTAATTGTATTGCGCGAGCGATTTTCAATCGCGCGCCCTGAAAATCGAGTCTAAAAATCTATCTTCTCCTACATTTTTTGAGCAATCACCCTGAAACTTTCAGGATATGTTCTAGGGATCATTTAGAAGATATCTGTCGAGCCGAATTTTGAGATAGGCCTTAGAAGATTTTGTATTCAATTTTGAAAATCTTGGACCTGGAAAAATCGTAAAAAAATGAGGTCCAAGATTTTCAAAATTGAATAAAAAATCTTCTAAGGCCTATCTCAAAATTCGGCTCGACAGATATCTTTTAAATGATCCATAGAACATATCCTGAAAGTTTCAGGGTGATTGCTCAAAAAATGTAGGAGAAGATAGATTTTTAGACTCGATTTTCAGGGCGCGCGATTGAAAATCGCTCGCGCAATACAATTACACATGAGCGATGACCTTTGACTGGCGATAATTTTGGCTAGGAACAATATTTTTCCATGGGACCAAAAGCAGCTGATAGATATCACTCCCCTCTATCAGAAACAACTATAAAATCAATTTCGAGAGAATTTTGATGAAGACCCCCCCCCCCGGCCCCCTTAAGACATTTATAGACAAGAAGCAATAACTTATATTGAATTCTGTAACTAATAGGCAGCCAATGAAGGTCTTTCAGAGTGTCTCCGAGATGATCATATTTATATAGTCCTACTATAGCTTTAGCAGCTGCATTCTGAACGAGTTGGAGTTGGTGGATGAGGTTGTCACTAATTCCATAATAAAGAGCATTGCAGTAGTCCAATTTGCAGACAATGATGCTGTTAATTATAAGCTTGAGCTGAGCTTTACTAAAGAGATATTTTCTCCTTATAACATTCCTAAGGAGTCTGAAACAATGCTTTTTGAGGGACATGATATGAAATTGATATACAATTGCTCATGATTTATGATTGTGCTCTGCCAATTGCATCACTTGCACTTGATTTAATTTATTGTGTATATATATATTGTTTGAATGACCTTTACTGTTAAAAAATGATACATTATGACAGTATTAGTAAGTCTGCATGGTTAGATGGTAGATACGTGTCATAAAATCTTTTAATATTGCACTTTATGTTTGAAACGATATTCACATCTGATCTTCTGATGTTAAAAATATCTGTACCATATTCTACTGATTCACTAAATATATTAAAGGTTTCTAAAAGATCTCCACGGATTCTTCTTTCAGCTTACGAATTTCCAACCTGCTGTGTGTGGGTGTCAAGATGCACCCACGAAACTCAGCTCATTCTGTGACAAATATCAAAATTTAATATTTAATACTCATCCGGCAATTGTATTAAATTTAATAAATACGCCAACCAAAGATGCACGCAGTGAAAGAAGAAGTAGTAAAAAGTTGTAAGCAGTAAGCGTCACGAAAATAGAGGAGTAACCTAAAAGTAGACAAACCAAGAAAGTGTATTTTGTATAAACATTGATTTAATTAGCAATATATTTTAGGAAGTAAAGACTTTTAGTTTGGGAATTATATTTAGTGATATTTTAGATAGTAGTTAATTATTAGTTATTTAGTATTTAGTTTATAGTGGGAATCGGGTAGTAAGTGTTATGGAGGTTAGTGACCAGTGAGAGTCAGTGAGTGGTTTATATTTCTATAGTGTTATTTTAAATGTTAACACATTCTATTTCAGATTAATTTTTAATAATTCCGCCGTTGCAGGCCCTTACAACTGGGGAAATCAGGCTTTGATATCCATAAACACGATTTAAGATAATAAAGCGGATTTTGCTCTAACCAGAGCCCTTTCGCTTGCAGTAGCGCGCGACCGCCGAAGTATATTCTAAAAGTAAAAGTAAGTAAAAGTAAAAATTATGACATAACATCATCACACATGTCTACAAAGTATCAAATCACTATATGGAATAATATAAATATCTTACCACCAAAATTAATAAATTATTAACTACAACTTTATTAAAAAATTTCAAATAAGTTCAAAAAGTATCTCCAAAAGATAACTTTATTCATACTTCCCAGTGGAATAAAGATTTATAAATCGCTTTAATTTTGCCTCAAAAGGGTGGATATAAAGATAATCGTTATGCTTCTCTTTATTACTAACATAGCTTGTATCACGTTGCGACCCCCACGGTCGTTTCACTATGGTGACGATACAGGGGGGCCGCGCACCTCGTGCGCGGCGGGTCATACAACGTATGACAAAGAAATAGTTACTGTATATTTTTCCATGTAGTGCGATGACACTTTGTAAACTTTAGTGATGATGTTATGTCATAATTTTGCTTTGGTTAGAGCAACCCAGCAGACCTTACCGGCTAGCAATATTACTACAGGGTGATCGCCTTTTCACAGCTTGTTGAACTCCGCGCGCGCTCGCTAGTTCATTGCATTTGCACGCTTCAATTATTCCTTGATTCACGATGTCAATCCTTCGCAGCTCGGTGAGGCACAGCTAGTGGTGCATCTCGCCGATCTACCGAGAAGCATTATTTGATGCGCGCGCGACCCAGTAGTGCATCGCGCTACAAATTATTCCAAGAATGCAATTTTACCGCGTACCACGTGATACGATTCAGCCAATCAGAGAACAAGAATCTGCAAAGTTAAAGCTGCGCACTTTTATAAGGCCCAAAATAAGACTTTTCGCGATAATTGACATACGTTGCATGCCACTTTTCGCGCGCGAAGCGCGCGCCGCCGAAGGCGGAAAAAGGGGCATACCATGAAGGGAATTGGACTTTTTAGAGGGACGCATATTCTGCGTCCCTATTATCCTATTTGACCAAATATGGGAGTAATTGACTGAGATGGCGCGCGCGCGCCACCAAAACAGTTAAATGCATTGTTTTTAACCAAGTTGCAATATTTGTGAGTTTACTTGGTATCTTTGTAGTATTTTTATTATCTAAACGACTTTATTAAGTCATTAGAACCTTCATGCAAACAAAAATTGAAATGTTTCAATATTTCTGTAAACTGAAAACTTGTAATTTTGTTCCAAACTGCTTAATTTTTGTACGGCGCTACTAATTCATGAAAAACGCGCTATATTTATATTTCGCATTGGATATATAGATGACCAATGATATCGTGGTATTAAAGTCATGTGACACCGCGATGAGCTAGCTGGCGTCTAGCTGCCTAAGATCATATCTATGCTTTCTCCTTTGTCCTATATTATCACTCGATAACTTTTTACACATGATTTTTTGTTCAACCTGTTGTTCAATTTGTTTAACACCTCTCTGGTTATTGCAAACCACTTCAATCCCCAAATTTATACATCTAACCATCTCTCTGGTTGCTTCCAACTCGTTAAAGCCAAGGCTCGACCAGGACCGCTTTTTTGGGGCTAATATTAAATACTAGTGGACTCTTTGCAGCTCTTCCAGCACCCCTAAATTTACTGATCTGGTGTTCACATTTTATTGAGCCAGTACAGGCTAATATTAAATACTAGTGGACTCTATGCAGCTCTTCCAGCACCCCTAATTTTACTGATCTGGAGGTCACATTTTACTGAGCCAGTACAGGCTAATATTAAATACTAGTGGACTCTATGCAGCTCTTCCAGCACCCCTAATTTTACTGATCTGGAGGTCACATTTTATTGAGCCAGTACAGGCTAATATTAAATACTAGTGGACTCTATGCAGCTCTTCCAGCACCCCTAATTTTACTGATCTGGAGGTCACATTTTATTGAGCTAGTACAGGCTAATATTAAATACTAGTGGACTCTATGCAGCTCTTCCAGCACCCCTAATTTTACTGATCTGGAGGTCATATTTTATTGAGCCAGTACAGGCTAATATTAAATACTAGTGGACTCTATGCAGCTCTTCCAGCACCCCTAAATTTACTGATCTGGAGGTCACATTTTATTGAGCCAGTACCTACAGGCTAATATTAAATACTAGTGGACTCTATGCAAATTCTTCCAGCACCCTTAATTTAACTGATCTGGAGGTCACATTTTATTGAGCCAGTACAGGCTAATATTAAATACTAGTGGACTCTATGCAGCTCTCCCAGCACCCCTAAATTTACTGATCTGGCGGTCACATTTTATTGAGCCAGTACAGGCTAATATTAAATACTAGTGGACTCTATGCAGCTCTTCCAGCACCCCTAATTTTACTGATCTGGAGGTCACATTTTATTGAGCCAGTACAGGCTAATATTAAATACTAGTGGACTCTATGCAGCTCTTCCAGCACCCTTAATTTTACTGATCTGGAGGTCACATTTTACTGAGCCAGTACCTACAGGCTAATATTAAATACTAGTGGACTCTATGCAAATTCTTCCAGCACCCATAAATTTACTGATCTGGAGGTCACATTTTATTGAGCCAGTACAGGCTAATATTAAATACTACTAGTGGACTCTATGCAGCTCTTCCAGCACCCCTAATTTAACTGATCTGGAGGTCACATTTTATTGAGCCAGTACAGGCTAATATTAAATACTAGTGGACTCTATGCAGCTCTTCCAGCACCCCTAAATTTACTGATCTGGTGTTCACATTTTATTGAGCCAGTACAGGCTAATATTAAATACTAGTGGACTCTATGCAGCTCTTCCAGCACCCCTAAATTTACTGATCTGGAGGTCACATTTTATTGAGCCAGTACCTACAGGCTAATATTAAATACTAGTGGACTCTATGCAAATTCTTCCAGCACCCTTAATTTAACTGATCTGGAGGTCACATTTTATTGAGCCAGTACAGGCTAATATTAAATACTAGTGGACTCTATGCAGCTCTTCCAGCACCCCTAATTTTACTGATCTGGAGGTCATATTTTTTTGAGCCAGTACAGGCTAATATTAAATACTAGTGGACTCTATGCAGCTCTTCCAGCACCCTTAATTTTACTGATCTGGAGGTCACATTCTATTGAGCCAGTACAGGCTAATATTAAATACTAGTGGACTCTATGCAGTTCTTCCAGCACCCTTAATTTTAATGATCTGGAAGTCACATTTTATTGAGCCAGTACAGGCTAATATTAAATACTAGTGGACTCTATGCAGCTCTTCCAGCACCCTTAATTTTACTGATCTGGAGGTCACATTTTATTGAGCCAGTACAGGCTAATATTAAATACTAGTGGACTCTATGCAGCTCTTCCAGCACCCCTAATTTTACTGATCTGGAGGTCATATTTTATTGAACCAGTACAGGCTAATATTAAATACTAGTGGACTCTATGCAGTTCTTCCAGCACCCTTAATTTTACTGATCTGGAGGTCACATTTTATTGAGCCAGTACAGGCTAATATTAAATACTAGTGGACTCTATGCAGCTCTTCCAGCACCCTTAATTTTACTGATCTGGAGGTCACATTTTATTGAGCCAGTACAGGCTAATATTAAATACTAGTGGACTCTATGCAGCTCTCCCAGCACCCCTAATTTTACTGATCTGGAGGTCACATTTTATTGAGCCAGTACAGGCTAATATTAAATACTAGTGGAATCTATGCAGCTCTCCCAGCACCCCTAATTTTACTGATCTGGAGGTCACATTTTATTGAGCCAGTACAGGCTAATATTAAATACTAGTGGAATCTATGCAGCTCTCCCAGCACCCCTAATTTTACTGATCTGGAGGTCACATTTTATTGAGCCAGTACAGGCTAATATTAAATACTAGTGGACTCTATGCAAATTCTTCCAGCACCCTTAATTTTACTGATCTGGAGGTCACATTTTATTGAGCCAGTACAGGCTAATATTAAATACTACTAGTGGACTCTATGCAGCTCTTCCAGCACCCCTAATTTTACTGATTTGGAGGTCATATTTTATTGAACCAGTACAGGCTAATATTAAATACTAGTGGACTCTATGCAGCTCTCCCAGCACCCCTAATTTAACTGATCTGGAGGTCACATTTTATTGAGCCAGTACAGGCTAATATTAAATACTAGTGGACTCTATGCAGCTCTTCCAGCACCCTTAATTTTACTGATCTGGAGGTCACATTTTATTGAGCCAGTACAGGCTAATATTAAATACTAGTGGACTCTATGCAGCTCTTCCAGCACCCCTAAATTTACTGATCTGGAGGTCACATTTTATTGAGCCAGTACAGGCTAATATTAAATACTAGTGGACTCTATATTGTATTTGATAATTAATTAATGTTGGTGGGGAAATATTTATTATATATTTTTTCACACAGTGCGATGATAGTTTGTAGACATGTGTGATGATGTGATGTCATAAATTTTACTTTACTTTACTTTACTTTTTATGCAGCTCTTCCAGCACCCTTACTTTTACTGATCTGGAGGTCACATTTTATTGAGCCAGTACAGGCTAATATTAAATACTAGTGGACTCTATGCAGCTCTTCCAGCACCCTTAATTTTACTGATCTGGAGGTCACATTTTATTGAGCCAGTACAGGCTAATATTAAATACTAGTGGACTCTATGCAGCTCTTCCAGCACCCTTAATTTTACTGATCTGGAGGTCACATTTTATTGAGCCAGTACAGGCTAATATTAAATACTAGTGGACTCTATGCAGCTCTTCTAGCACCCTTAATTTGACTGATCTGGAGGTCACATTTTATTGAGCCAGTACAGGCTAATATTAAATACTAGTGGACTCTATGCAGCTCTTCCAGCACCCCTAATTTAACTGATCTGGAGGTGACATTTTATTGAGCCAGTACAGGCTAATATTAAATACTAGTGGACTCTATGCAGCTTTTCCAGCACCCTTAATTTTACTGATCTGGAGGTCACATTTTATTGAGCCAGTACAGGCTAATATTAAATACTAGTGGACTCTATGCAGCTCTTCCAGCACCCCTAAATTTACAGATCTGGAGGTCACATTTTATTGAGCCAGTACAGGCTAATATTAAATACTAGTGGACTCTATGCAGCTCTTCCAGCACCCTTAATTTTACTGATCTGGAGGTCACATTTTCCCTCAGTAGCTACTCTCCCACTCAGTATTAATTCTCTGTCTTCATCAGTGATACTCTACATTTCCCTCAGTAGTTATTCTCCCACTCAGTATTAACTCTCTGTATTCATCAGTGTTACTCGATATTTCCCTCAGTAGCTACTCTTCCACTCAGTATTAACTCTCTAAATAAATTATGACAATTATGTTAGTTATAGAATTTGTTTGTTTTTTAATGACGAAGGCTGTGAAATGTTCACAGTTCTGATAATGAGGAAATCAGAAAGATTGTTTAAAACTAGTGATGATGTTTATGTCATTATTCTTAATCTAATCTAATCTAATCTTTGCTGCAGGTGCTTGTCACGTCACATGCCTTAGGCTAGGATGATATCCAGGTAACCATTTTATGGGATCATTTGAAACATAAGCACCCTTCTAAACACAAGGAAGCAACTGCAATACGTGAATCACAGAGGGTCAAGACTCAAGAGACAAAAGTCTGATGAAGTCGAAGCTGAGCGGAGATCGATGTATCAACTGACAACATCTAATCAGCCCACACTGGGGGCAGTCTGGAGCGGCGCCACTGTTACTAGACTGATGAACGTCAAAAAGATCTAAAAAGTTGCTCCTGAAATGGATTATTGATCAGATGCTCCCATACACGACTGTTGAGAATGAACAATTTCAACAGTTTGTTGACGGTAAGATTGATTTGGGACGTTTTTAATAACTTAGCTCAATAAAAAAACAACTTTTCTAGGCTCGAGCTGTGATGACTCCAGATTAAAATTCCAATTGAGTTCTTTGTGATGATAAAATTGATTGCTATTAAGTAAATTAGCAGCAGATTGACAATCATTTGTTGGATAATCATTTACAGATAAATTAAGATCATCTGACTTCCGGCTCATTCAGGTTTGAACAAGAAGTTTGACATACCCTCAGAGAAGGTGGTGCGCACAAAACTGTTTCCTGAATTATATGATAGAGTACAGTTTAAACTGAAGAAATTTATTGACTGAAAGGAGCTGATTACAGTCTGAGCTGTGATGTTTGGTTGTCAAAAGCGCTGGATTCCTATTTGGGGGTCATAATACACTTCGTAACTACAAACTTCGAAAGAAAAGTTATTGTACTGAGATGCCTTCCCTATAACCGAGCACATACCGGTAAGTTCTATCGTTAAATCTGAATAATTTAGCTCATATATATATATATCTAATTTGTGTCATTTCTAACCCCATGATCAAAGTTCAAACTCAGAACTCAGGACTGCCAATGCCATATAGATTGTAAAATTCGAAATACATGCTCATTTCGAGTTCATCAGAGTGCGCTTAGCTTTTTGATAGTAGAAAATATTAACCGTTAGCTGCCCACATAGTTTCTAATTACAAATTATTACGTGACTCGTTAAAGAACAATGTGTCATTTGTACTGCAGGCATGGGGTCTGTCCGAAGAGAAACTTCACTGCGTTATCAGCGACACTGCTTCAAACATGAAAAAGGCTTTGTCCGCCTGGATCCTGTTTTCTCCATCTACTGAATCTCATCGTAAAGAATTCTGTTTTTCTCAAAGTGGAGTTAACCGGCTTATCAAAAAGATCAAGAGTCTTATCAAGGAGTTTAGAACCCCTGCAGGTGAGAATCACTACATTTACCTTAGGTTTTCTGTTTGATGATTTCATTGTCACATACTTAATCTGATAATAACGGCTGATTCAAAATATTTTCTTACTGAAATGTACACATTAATAACGTTTGATTAAAATGTTGCCGTAGGTACATGTTCGTTGAGTGACATAATCTTGGCAAAACTATCATTGTTACGACTTGCGTTTATCATTTCTTAACTATCATATGTTAAACTATCCCGCCCATGCAGGTAAACGTCTACTGAATGAAAATCAAGCAGTAGAGGCAACTCTCATCAGACCAGTTGCAGTGGACACGAGATGGAACAGTTATTACATGATCTTTCAGGCCTTTCAGAATAAAAAATATGCAATAACAATCACCGCTCAAAATGCAGAGTTATCGTTGTCTGCATCTCAACAGGTCAGTTTACATGCAGCTCTTTTGACTCATCTCTCATTTTCTGAGTAGCACTAGTTAACATCAAGTTTAGAGAATCAATGTCCCTGGAATGTAACTGGAACAAATTCTTGTCCGCTGGACCTCCTAATTCCTAGCTCACTTCTCAATGTACAGGCTAAGTATTGATCAACTGAATTTTGCAGATGACTCCTCACGATTGGGATCTTCTGACCAAAGCTATTGCGGTACTGAAGCCATTCTACATCACCACAAAAGCGGCGGAGGGGGACATGGTTTCTGTTTCGGAGGTTATCCCAAATATAAAGAAACTGGATTACGCTATCAGGAGCATATCCTCAAGTGGAGTCGGAACTCTGAAACCCACGCTGCTTTCCGAAATGTAAAACCAAGTATGTGATATATGAACTTGCAAGTGACCCATGCAACAACCATGTCCACCATGTGGTCAAATATTCATTTTTAACCTCCGGTTTGTGCTACCAAGCATTGATTCAGGCGTTATTGGTCGCTCTGCATGTCGTTTTAAGTTACTTTTCAAATACATCCTAATGTTGGGGTTTTTATAAGCTATTAATGTAAAAGAAATATTTTTGGGTATGCAAACAAATCAACAATCATGGATTGCCTGTACAGTATCTTTACGTATCATCTAATGATCTATTGTGACATAATATATTTCAGGAGACTGAAGAAATCCAAAGATAGTGCAGCGATCTAAAGAGAATGAGTTAGAAGACCTTCGGAATCTGAAAGTGGAGTCGCTCTACCTTGACGGGAGAAAAGATGCAGCATTGTGATGAGCTTAGGATCGACATTAGACAACTCGCCACTAAGATCTTGTGGCTGTTACGCCACTAACGTCAACACCGGACGTCACAATGGGATTATAGCCCTCTTAGAGAAGAATTTTGGATGGGAATTGCAAAGATTTATTTGGTGCCTTCACAGGATAGACCTGCCATTAAAAAATTTAAGGGGTTCTGAGTCCTGAACTGTCGAGAGAACGAATTGGTCCTCTCAGCCACGCAAGGTGGATTATAATGCAGTAGAGTTAGTTATATTATCACTATTTACTTACCGCTTGATTTGAATATGAAGTATAAAAGCTCATTCCGAGTTGTGTTCTATGAGTAAGCTAGAAGGTAGCATATTTATTTTAAAGGGATTAGATTTATTTATGTTTTGTTTTAGAACCATCTACTTCTGAGCTGCCCTGTCAAAATTAAAAGGGTGTATAGGTTGTCCCGGCAAAAGCCTCCTTAAATTATTAATGGACGATCCTAAAGACCGTAATTTGGTCATGAACACTTCAGAAGAATTGAATGAAATAAAGGATATTGCCCGCTGTAAACAATGTCGGAGGAACCGTTATTGTAGCTTTTGCCCATTTTACGGTGTGAAGATGTTTTTACCATGGTAGATTCGGTACACGTACCCAAGTTCGACACGCACTCTAGTTCGTCACTTATGCCATGACTTAGACTGACTTAAGGCGGGTGGTATTCCCGAGATCCATTGACAACAGTTCTCCACAGCTTTCTGTCCTCCATCAGTTTAGCTATCTCATCTACTGACTTCAGCCCAGTATCTGCTTTTAGGTTATCTAGTAGTGTTAAATGAGGTCGCCCCCTGTTAGTATGCCCATGACTCGGCTTCCAGAGGATCAGTTTGTTCAGTGTCAGCTCCGGATGTCGGTGAGCATGACCTGCAAGTCTGAGCCTTCGTTGGGTTATCTTGGAGCTGACTTTGGGAAGATCACCGTACAGGCTGTGGTTGCTGACATGGTCTCGATATTGATTGATGTTAAGGGCCATTCTTAACATTCGTGTATAGCAACCATCAACCATCTTCTCTAGCCTTTTCGTCATTGTCCAAGTCTCGGAACCGTACAGTAGCACCGACTCCACTAGTGCTGTAAACACTCTGATCTTGATAGACTTTCTAAGCTTAGAATTCCAAAGTTTTTTGAGTGTGTGGCATGCTCCCCATGCTCTTCCTTTCCTAACCCTGATATCACTCTCACTGTCTCTGATTCTAGAACCCAGATAGGTGAAGTCTTCCACATGCTCTATTGTACTGTTACCCAGGGACTTGATGGTATCAGGGTTCTCGATGTTCTGAGTAATGAATTTGGTTTTCCCTTCATTCATTCTAAGTCCAACTGTAGCAGCAACCCTTTCTACCTCTAGCATCAGTGTCTCTGCCTCCTTTACAGTATCTGCTATCAGTGCAATGTCATCTGCAAAACCAGTGTCTGATATCTTCTCCGCCTTAACTCTCCTACTCCTATAAGGCTTAATGGTAAATCCTATTTCAGGGTGCTTGCTTAAGGCTTGTCTCATGCAATAGTCAAGGGCTATAATGAACAAGTATGGTGCTAACGTATCCCCTTGAAGAACTCCTGCCAGGATATCAAATAGCTCAGTATCCCCATCAGGTGTAATAACTTTGCCCTTCGTGTTGACATAGAGTAGATTAATGATATCCACAATACTGTCTGGTATCCCATAGGCCTTTAGTATTTGCATCAAAATTCCCCGGTGAAGTGAATCAAAGGCCTTCTTAAAGTCAACAAACACCATAGCTGCCGGTAGATTTCTCTGTCTAGCCCCCTCTAGTATCCTTCTGAGTGCCAAGATATGACTAGTAGTGGACCGTCCTTCCCGAAAACCATTCTGAGTGTCCCTAAGTACCCCTTCTATAGCCGGCTGGATCCTATTAAGCACCATTCTATTAAGAGTCTTTGCTACAAGTGAAGTCAAAGATATCCCCCTCCAGTTTCCAGGGTTTGTCAAGTCTCCCTTTTTGGGGACCGGAATGATGTTGCTTATCCTCCACTGATCTGGCGCAATACCATCTGTCAGGGCTTTGTTGCAGAAGGACAACACGATTTCATCCAGGTCGCATCTTTTGAGGACTTCAGGTGGTATACCATCATCACCTGGTGCTTTACCTTCTTTAATCCTGAGTTTGGCAGCTTTGAGCTCCTCTAGAGTAAAAGGTTCTGTACTGATGTTGAGTCCTTCAAATTGAGTCTCGATCCTAGGATGTTCGTTTTCCACATCAGGTGTACTCCCTAAAAGATTCGTGAAATGCCTAAGCCAATTTTCCTTCCTCTCTTCGGCTCCGTTGCCCCTTATTTGAGTTGCCCCCTTGGCCTTCCTACCAGTAATCTCATTTATGACATTCCAACTTTCTTTATTTTTGCATCTGTCTGCAGCCATTTCGACCCTTCTAACCTTGGCAACTAGATCTTCTTCAAAGATGTCCTGGTACACCTGATCCAGTTCAGTTTTAAGTACGTTAACAGACAGTCGACTGTCTTCACTAGGATCCCGGTGATAGACAGTCTCTGCTTGCTGCAACGCTGTACGCACGTTTTGAACTCGCTGATCACCCGCGAAATCGTCACGTCTCTTCTTTTCTCTCTTAGGCAGTATGGCTTTGTTGGTATCAGCAATCGCATCAACAAAATGCCCATACAGTTCCGTAACCTCACTTTCATCGGTTTGCTCGCATAAAGCAGAGTACCGATTCTTGACTTCTACTGCATATCTCTTCTGTAGGTCTTCATCCGATTTTAGTGCTCCCCAATTATACCAGGTTTTCTTGGGTTGCTTTTTTGCTCGTCGAAGAGATAGCTTGATCTTAGACAAAACAAATCTATGATCAGTACCCAATGTACTAAAGAAACTGTAGACTTCAGTGTCTTTGATACTGTTCCTCCACTTCTTCCTCACTAGAATAAAGTCTATCTGAGACTTATTCAGGGTTCCATCCGATAGGTGAGTCCACATCTTACCCCGCTTCTTTCTGAACCTGGTGTTTGTAATCTCCAGATTACATTCCAGGGCAGTATCCCGAAGCAGCTCCCCATTTCTGTTGGTTCTCTCATGGAAATACCAACCACAGTCATTCTCGTCCCTCTTTGATAGGTGAGCGTTAAAATCCCCAATCACCTCCAAGAAGTTGTGAGCAGGGATCTGCGAGACTGCACACCTTAGATCGTTATGAAACTTTTCTGCTGCTTCTACACTATCTGCCTCCGTAGGTCCATAGACACAGACGAAGGTTGGTTTAGGATTCCCATTGAGAGATATCTTAAGGATTCTCTCCGTCACTGGTGTTATCTCCGTAGTTGCGTCAAATGCCTTGCTTGTTAGGATGAATCCCACTCCGCCCACTGATGCCTGGGCCCTATTCCTAGTAGCTGATGAAGTAATTAGATAGCTGCTCTTGCCAACTCTCTCTACTCTGACAGGCTCTTCATGAACTATCCTGTGCTCTTGGATACCTACAATCTCTGCGCCGCTCTTCTCGAAAAGATGTACCATCTCCAGTTTCCTCTGGGTAGTTCTTATCGTTCTAGTGTTAAGAGTGCCTACCCAGGTAATGTCGGTACATGAAAATAAACTTTTTTTGTTGTTTTCGTTTATGCTGTTGGGTGTTTCAGGTTGATTAGGCTCATCATTCACCAACCTTCCATTCGGATTTAAGTTGGTGAAATCATTACCACCTTCTCGTCCAGAAACAAAAGTAGGGGCTGATACCCTAGTGCTGTAAGAACTATTCATCATGTTTCTTTTCTGTTGGCTATGTGACACGTGAGCCACCTGCGCCACTGGAATGGCTCTCTTGATAGCTACTTCATCAGTAGATGTTCCCACATACAGTAAATAAAACGGTAAGATGACAGATGGTGCTCCCATAGTTCCGGAATCTGTTACATCTTGATTAACCCACATCACCATCATCACGGGCTTGTTCTGAGGATGCCCGGCTTTTTTTCGGGGGTGCACCCCTAGATCCGCTGTGTTCAGTTACAACTCCATCACTGGAGTTGCATGCAGCCCCACCTCGAGCAGGATGTGGCTCTTCACCACGCACAGACGGTCTGAATGTACAGAGTTGAATCTGCAGCATCCTAGGTTTACCCGTAATAGAGCAAAACCTTTGCCATGTAGTTCGACAAACCCTGAGGTTCGACTCTGTCGAACTAAAGTGCTCTATCTGGAGTCAAGTTCGATACGCACTAAAGTTAGACAAGAGAACTTTGACTGTCGGACTACAGTTTTGAAATCTCCAATATCCAGCAACGATCCTTTACGAGCTTGAAATCTATTCGTTTGTTAGTTTTCCACTTGTCTCATGCTGTTCAATTATGTGTTTATATAATTTCTATAATCCATATCTATGGACATTTAATTGACCTCATACTCCATTGTTAGTTATTAGAATTGTAGGCTTAATAATAACGGAGAAATAAAAGAGTAACGTGGTAACTCTTACTTCGCATTGTAGATTATGCTAGTGAAGTAGTTAGCTAATTAGTGATTCACTCCCGGCGCGAGAACAAAGCGCCAGGAAAATAAGACAATTTTTCGCGCGAACTTGTAAATTTACTTACGCCGCGCAGAGATGTTCCTTCATGGTGTATCCATAATATCTCTGATATTTGGATACGAAACATGTATCAACGCGATAATTCAAAATTTACGTTGTTTTAAAATTTCCTCCTGGGGGGAAACGTTATTTTTACAAGGCCGCTCACTCATGCGCGGCGGGCCTACAAGGTCAAAGGTGAGGCAAGGCGTGCCAGTATAACAGGTAACATCGCCCTTATATTATTAGCATATAATTACAGCATACAGGCAATTTTCGCATCGCATGTAATAAATGCTGCATTTTACTTGAAAGTTTCAATCGAAAGGTAATTTCAGTATTATCTTAATATCTTAACATGTAATTGAAGTAGTGTTATCAGTTTGAGTTATGAACTTTAAGAGACTTTGTTTCTTCTTCCGAAGTTAGAACGGGTCAATCATAATACAAAGCGTAAAACAACAATAAAATACCATATTTTATCAATCAATATGTCACACGATTCCGTCCGTTCGAATAGGGGAAATACTGCAGCTTCATGTTTTAAAGAAAGACTGGCCTATTTTTTCTGATTAATTGGGCGGCATATTTGCATCAAATAATATAAAATTGATCATTGTGGAAATGGAATCAACACTGGAATTTAGTACGTAAACATCAGAATTCAGAAATCATACTACTTAAACGCTTGAAATAATAACTGATTAATAATACTGCAGATTTTATTTTACTGTTTCGATTCATATCACTTTATTGTTTATGATGTTAAAGAAATAAAAACATTACTTAACAGTCATACCCCAGAAAGAATAGCACTTAAAACCTAAGAAAAATTGTGTTAAGTTTTCATGTATTGTGCATGACTACATGACTACATGACGTACGTATGTACATATTATTATAAATTTACTTTCACCAATAATTGAATAGTTGTAAATGATGCAGGTATTCAAATGGAGGAAAGTATCAGTACAAAAATGATAAACCTCCCGAGTCCCGCGTACTGCATGCCATCAATGCTATCCAATCATAATTAGGATGTATATATCAGAGTTTAAGATCTACAAAATGTTGCACATGACTAGTATTATAACACACTTCAGCCTAAACTTCCAAACAGAACGTCAAATCTAACCAAGATAAAAATGTGTAGATAAAAATGTAAAAGCTGATCAAGTTTAATTTTTCACTGTGAAAATTAAAAGATAAATGTTTAAACATTTTCGATAATCTGCAACGGAAAATGTAAACTAAAAGGACAATTAAAAGGTATTAAAAAATTAAGAATAATACAATAAATTAGATGCAGACTTTCAAATCAAACCCAAGATTTGTTATAAAACTCAAACGAATCTAGTTATGTCCGAAAATGTCTAGATATCAAATTAAAAGTTCAAATATGTCCGTTTACAGTCAGGAAAAATACTGCCCGCAAGGTATTATGAGTGCAACCCTGAAAAGAGGAAAAAAAACGTACTCTATGAAAATCAGAAACTACCGGGAGGGACTGAATTGTTATTTTTGTGCTAAGTGAATCATACAGGTGGATCGTACAGTGTCCAAAGTGGGAAAAACAGTCTCACTTAAGACAGTCTCACTTAAGACAGTCTCACTTTAGACAGTCTCACTTTAGACAGTCTCACTTAAGACAGTCTCACTTAAGACAGTCTCACTTAAGACAGTCTCACTTAAGACAGTCTCACTTAAGACAGTCTCACTTAAGACAGTCTCACTTAAGACAGTCTCACTTAAGACAGTCTCACTTAAGACAGTCTCACTTAAGACAGTCTCACTTAAGACAGTCTCACTTAAGACAGTCTAACTTTAGACAGTCTCACTTTAGACAGTCTCACTTAAGACAGTCTCACTTTAGACAGTCTCACTTTAGACAGTCTCACTTAAGACAGTCTAACTTTAGACAGTCTCACTTTAGACAGTCTCACTTAAGACAGTCTCACTTTAGACAGTCTCACTTTAGACAGTCTCACTTTAGACAGTCTCACTTTAGACAGTCTCACTTAAGACAGTCTCACTTAAGACAGTCTAACTTTAGACAGTCTAACTTTAGACAGTCTCACTTTAGACAGTCTCACTTTAGACAGTCTCACTTAAGACAGTCTCACTTAAGACAGTCTAACTTTAGACAGTCTCACTTTAGACAGTCTCACTTAAGACAGTCTCACTTTAGACAGTCTCACTTTAGACAGTCTCACTTAAGACAGTCTCACTTAAGACAGTCTCACTTAAGACAGTCTAACTTTAGACAGTCTCACTTTAGACAGTCTCACTTTAGACAGTCTCACTTTAGACAGTCTCACTTTAGACAGTCTCACTTAAGACAGTCTCACTTAAGACAGTCTCACTTTAGATGGCAGTATTGAAGCTTTGGTTTTCAGGCGCATACAATTCACATTCCCTCAAGGTAATTTGCCTCATTTTCGAAATCTTCGAAATAGAGCCAGCTGCAGCAGCAACCAATGGATCATTTCTAATTTTTAATGATATTCTTTAATAATATTCTTTAATAATACTGTAAATATTAAGTAAAATTGTACAAAATTCAAACAACATGACTCGTATCCTACAATGGTCGTATTTACAATGTCTTTCTGTAGGATCTTTCTCTCGGCAGTATCGTATTTACATGGTACAACAGTGCGGGACACTCTTTTCTTCGTCGTATTTACTTGCTTTACTTTGATAATAATAGATTCTGTGGGAAATCTTTAATTAATATAATAATAAGGAAAATAAATATTTTTAATAATAGCGATAAACATATGTTTTTTGTTATTTCTCTTATTAAACAATGTCTGAATGTTCAAGTAAAGTAAGTATTAATTTACAATTAATAAATTTAATAATTATTTATAAATTTACCTATACTACATCTTTCTTGCTATAGGGTTATCAACGTATGTTATTGGAGAATTATACAGCGGTGATTGCGTCTGAAACGGAGTGTCATTAAATCAACGTTACGGTTAAATATGTTATTTTTCATAGATAAGGGGATTAAAAGTTGTCCTCTAATTCGGACTGGGTGAAACGCTTCTTGGAGTAAAGTCATTTCATAAGGAGTCGTTTTATAGAGAGTCACTTTATTGGTATAACGTAGTCCTCAAACAAGGAGGAAAGTCCGAAAAGAATTATTAAAATATCTTTAAAATAATAATGTAATTTTCAAAATATCACAAATTTGAAACTTACAGAAGCGAATTTGGTATTCTCCATGTCTTCGATGAATTTCTTGTATTCTTGTTTGTCTTTGTACATAACCACACACTTCCAACAGCAAATAATGATTATACCTGTTAATTTGTTAATATGTTTAAATTAGGGAAGATTAAAAATGGTAATAATTACCAGAGCACCATGCACCATGTGGCTTTACGTTTCTGTTTCACGAACACGACCTTTAAAAAAACATGCCCTTTCACTTTCAGCTTTCAACCCTTGATTTCAAATTCCAATTCACGAAATTAATTAAAAATTAAATACCACCCCCCCCCCCCCCCCCCCCCTTAATTAAAGCTTACCCATGAGAATGATAGCTAACATGACGCCCACAATAACCCAGATTATGTTGATGGGCCCACAGTCAGGATCGTTGTTGATGTAGAGAAGTTGACGAGTTGTTTGTATCTCTTCTGGAGCTTGCGCGTAGTAATACTCGTACAAACACCCATCTTTCTGCAAACAATAATTAATTTCTACAAATCTATCATTTCTAGAGTTTCAATATAAGTTATAAATTTGCACGAATTCTTCGCGAGAGTATGTCCCATATTTCCACTATTCGTGGACAACTACAACTTTAAAAAATAAAATAAATGAATTTTCCGCTGATTCAAGTTCAAGAATTAAAAGAAAGGGCGAGGGAAAGAGAGAAAAATAGCCTATCTGTGAAGTTGAAATTACAAACCTCGAAGTCACACCATTGTTCCTCACTGTCCGGCGTTTCCCTCTCATCAGTTAAATAAATGTTCAGAGCTGAAGGAGGTCAAATTATATCAAATTGTATTTCAGTTTTATTTCATTTATTTAAAAAAAATTAAATGTATTTGATTTTAGTGCGGCTGATAATAATGTAACAGATAAGATAAAATCCAAATTTAGTTATCAATGTGGAGTCGCGTATAATCCAAAAGGTGTGCTGTTACCCGACCCCTAGCAACTATAAAATACCTCACTCACCAATATCACAAGCATCACAGTCCTCGGCGTTTTTTCCGGCGGTGTCGCTGTCTCCGACTACACATAGAACACATTCCTCGAATTCCGTACACTTGTCACAAAACTCACACTGCTGACAGAACTTTCCTGGAGGGAAAATACAATTTCAAATTATTGTTTAGCAGGGTCGTGGTCTATTATGGCATGAACGTTCCCCTGCAGTACACTGATCGATAAATTCTTGACTTAAATTGTTCAGAAAATGTTAAATTTTGTGTGTTAAATGTGTTCAAATGTGTTAAATATTTAACATACCAGAGTAGTTATCCTCGCACTCGCATTTACCACAGTTGCAAGTACCATGCCCGTCGCACTCAAACCCATTAAACATGCAAGTCTCCGTGTTAGTTGTGCACTCGCACTTGTCTCCTGAAGTTAAATAATATTTAGTGAGCGAAATAAAATGAAATAAAATGAAATGAAATGAAATGAAACGAAATGAAATGAAATGAAGTGAAATGAAATGAAACGAAACGAAACGAAACGAAACGAAATAAAACGAAATGAAACGAAATGAAATGAAATGAAATGAAACGAAATGAAACGAAATGAAATGAAATGAAATGATGACTCATGTAGGAAATATTCGACTCTCAATCTACTTGTACAATCTTTGAGTATTATACAAAGAAATAAGGGCTATTACCTGTCCATCCCTCCTCGCATACACACACGGATTTATCGGTACCCTCTGGACACATACAGTTACCATTACCACTGCAATCACAATGTCGCTCTGCTTCGTTGTTACACTGACAGAACGGGCCGTAGTTGGGCGCTGAAATGGGGAGGCAATTTAGAATATTCAATGTAGAATGTAGAGGTGACTGTTTACTTTATTATCATCTCACCATGTTGAGTTTCTGATAAAGGGAACTCATTATTTCGTTCCAAGCTCACAAAGCTCAATAAAATACTCACGTATACAGTCACACTCGCCACATCGACATTTTCCTTTGGACGGACCGCCACAAATTCGACCGTCAGGGGTCATCTTACACATGGTCTGATTACCGAGGTTACCTGTGGGAAGAGTGGAGTTAACAGGTTAACAATTTTAACAATGAGTGGAGTTAACATTCTCAACATTCTCAACATTCTCAACATTTTATCATGATTTTTACTGCTTTATCATTAGTAAGAAGAGTGGAGTTAACATTCTCAACATTTTATCATGATTTTTACTGCTTTATCATCAGTAAGTATGGAATTATATCGGTATTTCATAAATTTGCAGAAGGTTCATAATTACATGATAACAGTTATTTAAAAAATGTTAAATGCTGTGTGTAAAGGTATCTAGATGTTTAAAAGGTTTAAAACTAAACACTTATATTTCTAGGGATATAAGGAGGAGTGAGGACTGGAAAAGGTTCAGCAATCTAACAATTTTCAGCAATCTAATAATATAATCAGTAATTATTATTGGTAATAATTTAATAATATAATTACTAATTAGTAATTACCGTCAGGGCAGTTACAAAGATCATCACTCCACCCATCATTACACACACAGGCTCCACACTGTTCCACACCGTTACCAGAACATACATCCTCTGTTACCTTGGTAAATTAAAATAGGATTACGGTTAAAAGGACATATTGACAGAGTAGAGCTATGTTATGCGGATTTTAAATTATCTGGCCAAAAATCCGTAAAATGTTTTGCGTCGTGGTTTGTGTCGAAGGTTTGTGTCGTGTGATCCATTGATTGTACAGAATAAGAAATGTGGAACAAGTCTCAAAGTCTGTGTCTTCTTTTCCGACCGCTGAAAAACTTTACCCAAAACATTCGTGGCTTTTTGTTGAACAACACAACTAATACTGGTATGATATTTACCTCAGTTGAAGCACATTCACATTCACAGAGAGTATCTAAGTTCAGTGTAAGTCGACCAAAACCTGTGAACTCTATCGTCTGAAGAATCAAGCTGTTATTCCAGTTATTTTATTAATCAATCAATTCATCGATGTAACAGTATATTGTATAGCAGCTTGATTCGTGAATCAGAACAGCTGGCAAAAATCGGTAAAGAGTTTTCTCGTAATCAAATCTAATTAAAAAACGCTATAATTTATCAAATTCACGAATCGACTCCATAACGAAAGTAAGAACGTTGAAAATTAAATCGTGGTTCCTCACCAATTCCTTCTGCGCAGAAAAACATTCATCAGCTGTTACAGTAAATTCGAATTGAGCATGTTCATCAATACCAACATCAGCACAGTCACCGTTAGTAACACCTTCGTAATCATTTCCTGAAAAAAATTTGTTCTATTTAACGGAATAAATGGACGACTGTGTGGAATGATGTGTACCTTCTCTGTTTTGAGATTAGACCATCCTCGGAAGATAAATATTTTGTATCCACACAAAATAATCTACACGCAAAATTAGTGAAAAAACTATATTTATTAGTTAAAATTATTATATATATAATAACATCTATAAACAAAAGAGCACCTAAAGAGGCTCAGCAAAGTGCTGGCCTATTTACGCTTACGAAGACTCATTCGTTCAATATGTCTCAAAGTAAATAAACTCCTCCATCCTACTCTATCTCTTGCTAAGTTCACTAAGTTGGTAAAATCATCTTCATTTTTCAAATAAATTTGTCTCTTAAAATTATTATTATAGTTAAAAACTATATAATTACACAACACCTCTGAATTAAAAATGAATAAAAAAGTTCTTTGAATGAATTAAAATGTTCCTTCACTTACGGGGACATTTAGCGACATGTTCAACATTAACACCAGAGATTGACTCCGTAAGTCTGGGGGATATCTTTGAACTGATATTCTGAAACACAAGTGTTTAACGATTTTACTGAAGGAATGAGGCGTTACGTTAACAATCACGTTAACAATCGTCAATCTTGATAAAACATTTGAGAATCGGGAACAGATTAAATTTATTGATAAGAAAGGTAAAAGTAACTTTGCAGGGATAAAATGGTTTTAGAAAACTCACCCTGTACTCTGAAACAATAAGATCGACCAAGTTAGAGGAATCACCAGACAATTCACCCACACTACCGTAAGGGAAGAATGCTCTCAGCTCGTCTCGTGATAAATGGAAATGTCATACAATTAAGAAATTTACCAAATCTTAATATCTACCCCTAAGAGAAAAAATACCTACCTAAGTCTATAGGCCTCTTGGGTTCAATGTTAGACTGGGACGAAGAAGCTCTTATGTATCGTGAGTCAGGTTATCAAGACCGGACGAAAAATGGTACATCTCAACAATGGATACTACTGCAAAGGTTCTATTACAGTTAAATTCTGTACCTGAACTCAACTAACACAGTTTTTATATTGTAGCATAATTTATATTGTTAATAAAGTTTATTTTGGAGATTTTAACCAGTTGTTTAGACAATTAAATTATTTTACTGGTCCACATATGTATGGTTAAGAATTATGACTTGAACGAATCTATTTATAATATTTCAGGTAAAAAAGTGGCAGGTTAAATTTGGCGGATTTTTGGAAAATCCGCCATTAACAACAAACAACAATGGCGAACAAAGCAAGCTAGGAACGAGGGGCCGATCTCCTTTTATTTTGTGGTGCGGCCACAGTCCTTTCGGTACAGATTTCCCTGCAGTCGGGACGCAACCCCAGGTATATACACTCGTGTTATTTTCGCAGCTCTAATGAAAGCCACTATGGTTTGGTGAGTGACGGCTGCCCTTACCGCCATACCCGCCATTATTTTTACCCGCCACAATAATACCCGCCATAAATACACGAACTAAGGTAAGCATCTCCACAGATTTCTTGCGTAATAAATCTGTGAACTCTTAAAACCCTCATATTATATCAAACACACTCACTTTTATTTAACATTTAATAATGATAAAAACATCTTCACTCCAAACCAGAAAGTTACCTAATCTTGGTAGGGCGCACTTGGCCCAACTAACACCTTCAGGACAACTCTGGGTACACCCGTCTCTCTTGAACAACTTGTTGTCATCTGTCAGGACGAACAGATCGTCCTGTGACGTGATGGCCATGTCAGTGACCCCAGAGGGGGAGGTAGGGCTAGGAGTGGACGTCCAGCCTGAACCTAAGTTGAGAGATAAGGTTATGGGGTGAGTTGAGAGATAAGAAAATAGGATTCGCTATATTATGTAACTTATTCAATAAGTTTTAAAGTGTCCTTTGCCAGGGTCATGTACACGGGGCAAAACAATAATTGTAAGCATTTCTTGACCTTTAGTTTCACGGCCAATGATTCACCATAAAAATATGGTTGAATAAATTATGTCCAATGTTATGGCTCTTTTGTTTTCAATTTCAACCAACTAGGCTCATTTTGATTTCGCATAATCGTAACAAAAAATCAACGAGAACAAAAACAAAGCCTTAACATATTGTCTGCTTAATGTTTACGCCAAAAATACAGCAATCAGTTGGTATTCAGCTGCATAGTGCACACTATACAAATTGAAAGAATGGTATCATTTTTAACTGTGACATAACCGACCTTCGGCTTCCAAAGGTAATGGGCTTCCTGCAATTGGCTGATTACACCCGTGTACAACAAATATGGCTGTTGGAAGTAGAAGAAGCGTAAGATTTAAAAAACCTATTTTATCTAGCAGACCACTTAAAAAGAATAACCCCATACCTATCCTAGTAATCCCGGCGGAGCTGGAGTGGAAGCCCATACCAGTCCTCACATGTAACATGTTATCCCTACCATACACCCACAAACAACTCCCCCCTGCCTCCAGCATGTCGGTACTAAAGTCGTGCTCTACAGCTGTCCAGGAGGAACCTTGCTCACTGTTCGGTGTAACTCCAGACCGGTAAAATAACTGGGGTGGTTATTGGGTGGTTATAGTGTGGTTATAGTAGTTTAGTTGTAGTTGCAGTTATAGGTGTAGTTGTGGTTGTAGTTGTAGTTGTGGTTGTAGTTATAGTTATAGTTATAGTTATAGTTATAGTTATAGTTTTAGTTATAGTTATAGTTATAGTTATAGTAGTAGTTATAGTAGTCATAGTCATAGTCATAGTCATACTCATAGTCGTAGTCGTAGTCGTGGTCGTGGTCGTGGTCGTAGTCGTAGTCGTAGTCGTAGACCGTAGTCATAGTCATAGTCATAGTCATAGTCATAGTCATAGTCATAGTCATAGTCATAGTCATAGTCATAGTCATAGTCATAGTCATAGTCATAGTAATTAGTTATAGTAGTCTATAGTTAGACTTGTTTTTGGTTGGTTAATGTTAATGATATTACTCTGTATCTTTATATCAATTAGCCGATGTAATCGAAATGAGTCACCGTTAGTGTGTAACTGTTCGGTGTAACTCCAGACCGGTAAAATAACTGGGGTGGTTATTGGGTGGTTATAGTGTGGTTATAGTAGTTTAGTTGTAGTTGCAGTTATAGGTGTAGTTGTGGTTGTAGTTGTAGTTGTGGTTGTAGTTATAGTTATAGTTATAGTTATAGTTATAGTTATAGTTATAGTTATAGTTATAGTTATAGTAGTAGTTATAGTAGTCATAGTCATAGTCATAGTCATACTCATAGTCATAGTCATAGTCATACTCATAGTCATAGTCATAGTCATAGTCATAGTCATAGTCATAGTCGTAGTCGTAGTCGTAGTCGTGGTCGTGGTCGTGGTCGTAGTCGTAGTCGTAGTCGTAGACCGTAGTCATAGTCATAGTCATAGTCATAGTCATAGTCATAGTCATAGTCATAGTCATAGTCATAGTCATAGTCATAGTCATAGTCATAGTCATAGTCATAGTCATAGTAATTAGTTATAGTAGTCTATAGTTAGACTTGTTTTTGGTTGGTTAATGTTAATGATATTACTCTGTATCTTTATATCAATTAGCCGATGTAATCGAAATGAGTCACCGTTAGTATCATTAAGGCCAGGGGTCAAAATCGTTTGTGGTTTTAATTTATGCGATAGATGTTTCTAGTTTTAATTTATATGCGATAGCTGTAGACGAAAAAGTATTGAAATCTGACGTTGCGTTCCTGTCTCCTAAGATACCCTGAGATATTACACGCCGAAGATTATCTCAGGAACATGAACACAAGATCAGATGTGATGCAGTTTTTCCTACTTTTTCGTCTCGAGCAGCTCTATCACATATTATGTTAAAACAATAAAATTAGTTTTCAATTCAGGAAATAAGGTAACTATTTAGCATTGAATAATGGCTTCTCCCTGGTGATCAGCTTTGAGAAAAGACAATTTTTTGAGAAAAGACAATTTTATTATTTGTCTTTTTCTTTAACCTAACCTTATCATGCATTATAGCCCACACAGTGCCAGATATTGACACACTCAATTTATCCACCAGTCCCTCCACTTGTACCCACTTAGAGCCCTCTTCTTTTCCTGTGCAGTACAATAAATATAATAATAAATAATATGATAATATTTAAAAAATAAATTTACATTTATTCATCGATGTATTGCCAAAAAAGAGTTGAAAATCCAAAGATTAAAGTCACACTGTCTCATCATCATGTGTAATGGTTTACTGTAGAGCCAATTAGTAAAAATCTAGAAAAATAAGAGTTTTGAAGATGTTATAATTACTTTAGTTAGTTTGTCAATTAAGGGGACCATACCTGGAGTGATGCCATCTCTATAAAAAGGGATGCTAGCCTTGCTGATAGCCCAAACACTCTCCCTCGTATTTTGGGACATTGACACCTAGCCTGAAACATTGAGCTAGTAGTTGAATTTTTGCTCGGACTGTGGAGCCGACCACGAAAATAGTGGATGACATTCTACAAATTTATACACTTATCTCCAAAAATTCAGTAGAATTTCTGGGCACATATTTGAGATTACATTTTTTGTAGATAAATGTAGATATTTGTAGATTATTGTCAATGGATAATTCACGTAAATTCTACAAATTCTACAAATTTATACATTTATCTCCAAAAATTCAGTAGAATTTCTGGGCACATACAGGGTGAGTTGAAAATAGTGTGTGGAATGTAAAGATCGATAATATTTTTTTTAATTTTGAAAGGTGTATTGCTATCAGTTCATAAACGTTACAAATTTCATTGTTGCATCTCATTCGATTCTAACTCATAATTTTGATTATTTTTGGCAGTTTTCCAAAAATTCGTAAATTCGTCCTAATGGGGTTCTCAAATGATTTTTATTTGATTTTGAAAATCGTGGACCTCGAAAAACCATCAAAAAACGAGGTCCAAGATTTTAAAAATCGAGTAAAAAAATTTTAAAGGCCTATCTCAAAATTCTGTCAGGCTCATCTCTTCTAAATGATCCCTAGAACATATCCTGAAAGTTTCAGGGTGATTGCTCAAAATATGTAGGAGAAGATAGATTTTTAGACTCGATTTTCAGGGCACGCGATCAAAAATCGCTCGCGCAATACAATTACCACACACGCGCTGACCTTTGACCGGCGATAATTTCGGCTAGGAACGATATTTTTCCACTGGATCAAAAGCATCTGACAGATATTACTCCCCTCTATCAGAAACAACTAAAAAGTCGATTTTGATAACATTTCCATGAAGACCCCCCTCTGCCCCCTTAATACAGTCAAGTCGGCTATAGACAATTGTCTTACACGTTATCAACATGTCCTAGCTAATAAAGGACGATGGGTTGAGCAAATTATTAATTATTCAGCATTTTTATTGTATTATTATAAAATGTATATATTTTCATTACCTAAATATCCAAAAATTAAGTGGAAATGTCATTTGTCAAAAAAATTAGAGCCATTTACATTCCACACACTATTTTCAACTCACCCTGTATTTGAGATATACATTTTTTGTAGATAAATGTAGATATTTGTAGATTATTGTAATGGATAATTCACGAAAAAAGTGGATGACATTATCCAAATATCTACAAATATCCACTTGGCTCCCCTCCTGTATTATATTTTAATGTCGTAGCTTTTGATAAATGCTGGAATTCAATTGTTTATTTTACTGTGGTAAAAAAAGGTCAAAAAAAGCAATGAAAAGTCTGCTATAAAACTCACCATTAAATAAGTTTTTATGATAAATTCTATTATAATAACAATGAAAATTACTCATAATATTACCAGCGAATTCCAAAACGTGTTCATGCGGAAGTATAAACGATAGAATTATGTTTATCGATATTTTTGCCATTTTAAAGTATAGCATCACAAACTTCACACTGTAATTTACTGCAATACTATTGCCCTTCTATGTTTATACAAACTCTCATGCCGCATAAAATTTTTCGGAATGATATAGAATTCCAGTATCAACAAACATATTTGTCATCCAGCACAATGTTCAGCAGCAAGAAAAAATTAATTGAGCCTAAATATGATAAATATTAAATGTTTTCTGAAAAGTCATTCTATCATGAGATCAGACCAAAGCCAAAGCCAAAATACTGCGAAGCGTAATTTGAGGGCATAGAATATAAATAGAAATAAAATGTATATTGAAAAAGCAATAGACCAGAAGTATCTGAGCATGCATTTATACAATTAAACTGGAACCCTGTGGTACCACTTAAATTGTTTTTTGGTAGGATATTCCATCTCCACATCATTACCATCCACATTTTCAACCAAATCACTAGTACCTAGTGCAACATTGAATTCAGGAGCTCTCTCACCATCCTGCAGAAGCTCTGCTATCTGAACCAATGCATCAGCAAAGATTCCATGCAGGACACAAGAAACACTGAGATCAGATTCACTATAAAGAGCAGCTTCAGCAGCTGGGTTCGTACAACCCTCCATTGCTACATAATTCAGCTTTTTATCGACTGTTACTTTATCCCATGCTTTGCTTCGTTCTAACGCTTCCTTATTGTCGAAAGAATGAACATAAACAGACACGTTTTCAGTTTTTTGCTTTTTATTCTGAGACTGTCTCCTTCTTTTCAATGCCTTTCTCTTAAAAGTGGCGTTAGTTTTGGCTTCTGAGTTCAAATCCCTACCTTGAGGAGATCCATTGTCCTGCATCATTTATTGACTTAGCTATCTGAGGGTTTGGAGTTGAGACAGTATTTAGGTATATTACAACAGAAAATGCTATGAAATTGAACGGTATTATGCTTTTCATACAAGTTACAACAAAGTCTTCATGTCATGTATCCTGAGTTTGGACAGGAAATTACCTGCTTCAAATATTTCCATCGCGATACATAATACTCAATAAATGTAATTGATTTGTAGTGTTGTAATTAGTTATATAAATAATTGTGAATAATATTTTCATCAAGCAATTAATATAAATATCTCAATACTCTCTCGAGTTTAAGCATCCAGCACTTACATTCAATACCCATCCACCAAAGATGCAGAATCCCTTGTAGCCCGATGCACTACTGGTCCGCGCCACACATCCAATAATGCTTCTTGCAACCTTTGTTAGATCAAGGAGATAATAATAATAATAATAAATAAATAATAGACCAGGAAACTGATGAGGATAAATGGAGCTCACCACCCCCAAGGAGATGTTGATCGGTTATACGTAAGCCGTCAACTGGGTGGCCGTGGGCTACATAGTATAGAGGAAGTCGTAAAGAGAGAGGAGAATGCACTCACCACCTATGTGGTGAGAAGTAGAGACCCAGAACTGATTGCACTGAAGGACTACTTTGTCAAAGACAAGATACTCTTGGGTGAAGAGATAGAGAAAGATATCGACCGAACACAACGCGAGGAAATCCGCAAGGAGAAGTGGACTGCTAAAGTGATGCACGGACAGTTCCCAAGGCAAATGATGGGTATAGCGGACCCGTTAACCTCTTGGAACTGGCTCACTCAACAAGACTTGAAGAAGGAGACAGAAGGATTGTTGATAGCAGCCCAAGACCAAGCACTTAGGACTAATTATGTGAAGCACAGGATTGACAAAACACCTGGCTCTTCTCCCCTCTGCAGACTCTGCAGAAATCATTACGAGACAATAGACCACATACTGAATGGGTGCCCAAAACTTTCACAGACAGAATATAAGTGTCGGCATGACAAAGTAGCTGCCGCATTGCACTGGAGTCTGTGCAAGGAATACGGCTTCCCACGCAGTAAAAGGTGGTACGAACACCGGGCAGAGAAGGTGCTGGAGAACGAAAAAGTCAAGATATTGTGGGACTTCCATGTCCAGTCGGACCACGTTATCGAACACTGCAGACCAGATCTCCTCCTGGTAGACAAGGTAACCAACGCAGCAACCATCATTGACGTTGCAGTCCCAGGAGATACCCGGATCCTGGATAGAGAACAAGAAAAGATACTGAAATATCAAGACCTAAAAAGAGAAATTAAGAAGAACTGGAATTTACGAAAGGTCACAATCGTCCCTGTGGTGATAGGCGCATTAGGAACTATCACCATTAACTTTCGTAAACACCTCGACGCAGTCCACTGCAATCTGAGCATCTCTAATCTCCAGAAGACAGCTTTGCTTGGATCAGCCAGAATTCTCAGGATGGTCTTAGACATATAATATTATTGAGAGTATATTACACTGTAGATACTCTATATTTAGTTTATTCTTCACTGGATACTGTAATAAACACTTTTTACCTGGTCCTCTTATATCTCTTCCCTTGCTATGCAAGCCCTGTCTCTTGTTTATACAAGAGTTTTAAACTATTTTCACAACTACAATTAAATACATTTATTGAGGTATGACCAAAATGACCAACATGACAAAAATGTAATGTAATTGGAGGTATCAAATCTATTCAATCAACTTCAATCAACTTCAATCGACTTCAATCAATCTATTTATCTACAACCAACTCAACCAACTCAACATCATGAACGATTCATTGGAAACATTTTTCGGCAAATTATTGATGGAATGTGATACAAAATGTACAAACTGTTCAGATCTTGAAACTCGCGTGAAGTTTCTGGAGCGTAAAGTGTTCATTTTAGAGGAGATTGTTCAAACCTCACAAACAATAGCAGAGATTAATGAAACTATTTCGCCTCAAAGTGGAAACCAATCAATTGCTCAATACAAGTGTTTCGATGTATCAGTGCAAACGGACTCCAGCAACAATAACATTCAGTATGACAATGAATGTGAGGTACCAGAATCATTTTTGTTGATTGATGATGATGGCTATGTAGAAGCACCTCTATCAATTATTTCTAACAACATAGACATTTCAACCAGCGAGATTACAGACACTGGCTCAGTTATTCCAAGAAGTGGTGAATATTATGCAGGATTAGATTTAACACCTGTGTCAAGTTCAGACCTTACTACAGACTATGAAATCCCTGATATCGCCATCACACCTGTTGAACTTATTGAACAGGCACCATTCAGCAAATTTTCTGTTGAAATCTTATTTGAGGAATTAAAGTTCAGCCACCACTTCCATAACAGGAAATCAGTCTACTTTGGGAAACATCCTTACGTGTACAGTGGAGGAATGCATGACCCAAAGAAGATCCCCCAGGGATCTTACATGGCAAGTATATGTTCCTTTCTAGATGAGCTATTCCCAGAATACAACTACAACAGTGTTCTGGTCAATCTCTATGAATCTGGAGAGGAACATATGCCTGCTCATAGTGACAATGAAGAATTTATTGAAGAAAATTCGTACATTGTAACAGTGTCCCTTGGTGCTTCCAGGATGATGCAGTTGACTGAAATCAAAACAGGACAAGTGGTGACTTCCCTAATTTTAGAAAATGGAGATGTATGTCTTATGTCCAAAAAGTCCCAACATCAATTCAACCATGAACTATGTCCCGATCCACTATGCACAGACAAAAGGATCAGTTTAACTTTTAGACTTATCAAACCAGTTGTCTGCAGTCAACCAAGAAAATCACCTTCTCCAGCTAGTGGATATGTACCCTACAACGAAAGTGAATTTGAAGTCCACCATTCCAGAGTTAAGAGTTCAGCCAAGTCAACTGCAGCGCCTCCTTCACCTGAACAGATCCCAAGTGACCTGCCAATTGATACCATCTACATCAGCAGCAGTATGTTCAGGGACCTCAACGGAACTCTACTAAGTTTGAGGAAGCAGAAAGCTATGGTGTTCTTCTACCCTGGAGCGAACTCTGCTCAAATGTTAAATAGGCTGTTACATGATGAGGAGTTCAAAAAACTGGACAAAAAGGATGTAAAGCGTGTTTTCATACTAACAGGTACAAACTACGTAGATTCTGTCTGTAACAATTATATTTCTATGAAAAATGCAACAGAAGGAATTGATCAAATACTTAGTATACTTTGGGGAATGTTTATTGGAGCAAGAATTTCAGTTATAAATATTTTACCTAGGAACAGTTATAACAAAAATGAAGTTATCAACGAATTAAATAGGTTTATTTCTAACACCTGCTCTAGCCATGGGTTAAATTATATAGATTTAGAACGTAATAATAGACTATTTACCAGCCGAGTTACTGGAGTAAGGAAACAGGTATTTTTCAAAAAGGGAATAGATAATGTTCACCTTAATATCAAGGGAATCGCCAGGTTGGCGAAACATTTAAAATATTTATCCCACAATGAGCAAACTTAGTCTCTCCATTCAGATTGTAGAAAGTTCTGTAGTTAAATGAGTATTTGATACTTTTATCAAAGAATCACATTTTAAATTATTAAGTCACAAATAAATCAGCATGACATAAAACTAAATGTCATGAATTTTATTTAAATTGCTTGAAGAAGAAACGTATAGATTTGTCCTCCTTTTAACTTTATTATTACCACATTCGTACCTCAATAAACGATAATCTCTCTCTTGGTCTATGTAATATACAGGGTGGCCTGACTAATCTGGCAAAAACTCTTGAACTACAGGAGCTAATATTTCGCGAAAAGCTTGACATAATTGGAATTAATGAGACAAACCTTAAATCTGATATAGACACTAGTACACTTAACTTCCCCTTAAACTTTGATTTTATAAGGTGTGATAGACCTAACGATAGAGGAAGAGGAGGGTGTGGTATATTGATCAACCAAAATGTAAACCACAAATTACTCAATTTAGATATAACTTACTCTGATATTTCTAAAATCGAAGCTATATGGATACAACTCAAGGATGCCAATCTTTACATTTGCTGCTTCTACAGATCACAAAACTTTTGTCACCTAGATACTTTCCTTGATTATATGACTGAATGTATGATGAAACTTCAAGGTAAGAAAGTAATATGGATTGGCGATGTTAATGTTAACCAAAACTCTTTATCTGATCTAGATTATAAAAAGTTAGATATAACAATGAAGCTCTTTGGAATGATACAGACTGTTACAGGAATTACTAGAGTTGCAAACTTAGATGGTAGGATAACGCAGAGCACAATAGATGTTGTCATGACTAACTGTTACTCTAATTTCATAGAGTGTAAAGTACTTGATGATAGAATAGGAGATCACCAAGCTCTCAAATGTGTTCTCGACTTTAAAGTAAGTAAAGCTAGTAAATTCCAGAAGGTTCTTATCAGAGACCACTCCTTAAACAATCTGAAAGCCTTAAGCTATTTTCTGGGATCCTGCAGCAACTACAGTAATATTCTAAGCTGTACTAATGTAGACCATGCCCTAGATGGACTTAATCATCACATCCAGGAATCGTATGATAATTACTGTCCACCTAAACAGATAAAATGTAATAGTAACTTTCTCTGTAATCCCTCTAAAGAACTGTTGGCAGAAATACGGAAGAAGAAGATGCTTTTCAGAAAGTATAAAAAGTGCTTAGGACAATTAAACAAATTCAAGTGTAATTGTATTAATGGAATATGTAAATGCAGAAAAAGTGAACTACATAAGAAATGCTCTACTTCGTGGGACAACTATCGTCCCCAAAGAAACTATGTGACAAAATTATCCAAAGAAAACAGACGTACAAATATTGTTCAGGACCTTACTGTGAAAAGTGCAAAAAACGATTTAAAAGGCATTTGGAAAACTATCAAACATGCTTCAAACTTACCTGGAAAAATAAGTAGCTCTTCCCCAAGCAACTTAAATGTTAACGGAGTTAACCTGCATTTTGCCACAGTTGGTACAATAATACAAGAATCGATTAAGGAAAAGGATTCAGACGACTTCCTAGAATATATGCCGCCTCCAACAGAGTGTAAACTCTCTGTATTCGAAGAGGTGACTGTTGAACAAGTAAAAGAATATATACTCAGTATACCATCAGATAAATCGATTAACGATATCATGCCCATTAAAATATATAAGTATATTATTCCCCAAATCATCGATCCAGTAGCTCATATTATAAACCTTAGTATGAAAAGTGGAACAATGCCGTTGGCATGTAAAATTGCATCAGTCACTCCAATTCTTAAAACTGGTGACCCTAATGATCCAAATAACTACCGGCCAATATCCATACTCCCCCTACTTGGAAAATGCATAGAATATTTTGTTAACCAACAGCTTACAGAGTATGTTGAAACAAATAAACTGCTTACCAACCATCAGTATGGTTTTAGAAAAGATCATTCCACCACTTTTCTAATGCTTAATCTATTTGATAAAATATTTACGTCTAAGGAATCACAGAAGAAACCTGCAATTGTATTCTTAGATATCAAAAAGGCCTTTGACACAGTAAGCCATAATATTTTATTAAAAAAACTTAAGTATTATGGAGTTGATGGCTTTGTCATAAAGTGGTTCAAAAGCTACCTGGGGGACAGAAAGCAACACACCAAAATACGTGGTAATGTAAGCACATCACTCCCTGTTAAAACAGGTGTGCCACAGGGTAGCATATTAGGACCAATTCTATTTAGTTTATTCATAAATGATCTCAGTAGAAATTGCACACAATCTACTGTTTACTTATTTGCAGATGACAGTGCACTATATTTTGATAACATTTCCCGAGGCATATATGAGAATGTAATTAAGGATATGAAAATTGTGTATGAATGGCTTAGAATCAACAAGCTGAGACTAAATGCTGCAAAATCTTCATTCATTGTATTTGATAGATCACCTAATCTGGACACGTTGTCAATCCCTCTGGATTTGGAAAAAGAATGCCTATTTATAGAAGAAACTAAATCTCAAAAATATTTAGGTCTCATGATAGACAATTTATTGAACTTTCATGACCATATTGATTATGTGAAATCAAAAATTGCTAAAAGAATAGGGGCATTATACAGGTCGAAAAATCTTCTTCCACTGAAATATAGAAAAATGTTTGTAAATGCTCTTATGCTCCCCCAATTTGACTACCTGGATATAATATGGTGCAGGGCTGCCAAAACCAAACTTAATTCTCTTGATATATTATACAAGAAAGTAGCAAAAATTGCTCTGGATGTTCATTGGCAGGAACCATCAGTAAATGTATATCGAAATATGAAGTGGTTACCCTTACACTTAAGAAGACAACTCCATCTGTCAACGTATATGTATAAAATTCTTAATGAGGCTGCACCATCATCATTCACAGATAAATTTTCTTATGTATCCGGAGGATCACGTGATGCTGAGAGGTGCAACCTTTATATTCACAAATCCAGAACACACAAAACCTTTACATATTTAGGTGCAAAATGTTGGAATACAATTCCAGAGAACATAAGGACTATAGAATGTAGTGTAAAATTCTCACAATGTATGAAATCTAAATTTATGTCAGATGTAATTCAAGGAGTCTCATCCTATG